ATGAAATATTTTCGAGGTAGCATCTTAGTTTATTTAATGTCCAGGCCTGTCTGGGCTTTGATCCTCCTATTTGTGCTTCTCCATATTGCTGAGGATGACAAGCATGCAGTACTATACCCAGTTATTGGCTAAGGTCGTTGTGAGGTTCTTTTGGGCTGAGTTGGCCCCAAACTCTAGTTTTAGCCAGGATTATAGGCTTGAGCCATTGCTCCCAGTAATAATGAACTTAAAAAAAATGCAGTAGCTTGATCAATTTTAATTTTTTTTTACTGAAGGTATTCATTACAATTATTAAAAACTAATTGTACAGATTAATAGGAATAACTGAGATGCTTTACTATATACATGTATTGTGCATTTTCTGTAACTTGATTATTTAGTTTACCATGATGTCCTATATAGTTCCAGCTATCTTCCCCTTACCCCCCCATGACAGGCTCATGGTCTTATGACTGAACAGTACTCCATTGTACTCACATACACCTTTTCTCTGTATATTTATCTGATGATGGGTACTTACAGTCATTCCATATCTTAGCACTTTAAGTAGTGCCACAATAAACATGGGCATGCAGGTATTGCTTTTGTACTCTGCATCCTTTCCTTCCCATAGATACTCACAAACAAGACCAGCTTGACCTTGATTATGAAGGTAGCATGCTGTAGTGAATAGCATGGACTTCTATATCAGATCTGGGCTTAGTTTTTTGTTAGCCATTTGCTGGGTTTGTGGTCTGGTTCAGTTCTATAAATCTCTGTGAGCCTCAGTAGAACAGGGGAAATAGTATTCAACTCAGCAGCTGTGTGAGGATTTAACAGGATGTCTGAACCATCCCTGTGTTTGCTAAAAGAAAACCAAAAGGACCCCTGAAGTTTTCCTTAGCTTCTCAAAAATGATTGAATCTTCCTAATAATTTCCTCAAGTGTGCCTATGAAAATCTTCTCAGAGATTTTTCCTGTTTTTTTCAGTGCTCCTTGAATGTTCTACTCTCTTCCTCTGTCCATTGAAAAGGTGGTGCTAAACTCAATTCAGTATCCAAAATATGCCCCCTCTGACTCCCAATAGAACAAACTGAGCTGCTTGTGGAGTATGAATTTCTATTAAGATAGCATGAAGTTGCATTAATTTTCATGACAAATATTCTTCCATAATATTTTTCCCTCCTCAGCGTGTCATACTTAGTTTTTGTTTTTTTCTTTTAAACCTGGGTGCTTGTGGGAGCAGCGGTACTTATGCACTTGCCCATTTTGTTTGGGCATACCATTTCTTGCATCTAAAACTTTTTAGATCTTGTATGTCCAATTAGTATTTTTCGTAGATTTTTCCCAATAAATTAAAAAAATGTTGAGTAAGACTAGATGTTGAATGTTTGTTGAATTTTTGTTAATTGACATGTTTGGTTATTATTGTGTTGATTCTCACCTTAAACTTGGCAGTGCCTTCCAGTATTATCCATAACCTTTCCATGCTGAGTATCAGCCCTCTTTTGGAATGTTTTTGCTGGAGCCAGTGGGGGAGAGTCTTTGTTTTACTTGTAGGGATGTGAAGACTAGGCCCTAGAGCTTTCTGTGATATTGGTCTCTTACAAAGAAAGGATAGAGAATTGTTACTTGGTCTACCATTAAATGCTTTATAGCATACTAAGTAATTTTTACAGAGCTTGACCACGGTCCCTTCACAGACAAGAATGAACTTAATCTGACAGTATTTTTTGGTGAACTCAAGCCTGCTCCAAGAATTTGCCCTATTCTAAGTAACCAGGCCATCTGGTCCATTTACATAAATAAATTGTAACTAACTTATCCATGGCCTGATGCATAGCAGACCCTTTTAGTCTATTAAAATACAGGATAAACTCGAGTTAGGCAGAATTTGAAAAGGGTCTTTTATATTTTCTTGGAGTCATGTCTATCACATTAAATATACTTTATTTGAAGTAGTATTTTTGTATTATTTCTTTTAGAAATATTTTTGTAGAAGAGTACAAGTTGTTTAAAATGGACTTTGTAATATTTCCACAAAAAATTAGGCATCAAGCCCTAGATTAAGAACAATTATACCTGTAATCTTAGCTACTCAGGAGGCTGAGATCTGAGGATTGTGATTCAAAACTAGCCTGGATAGTCTCATGGACTTTTCTATCCAATTAACCAACAAAAAGCCAGAAGTGGAGTTGTGGCTCAAGTGGTAGAGTTTTTTGAGCAAAAAAAGTCAAGCTCCAGTACTGGCATAAAAATGAAAAAAATGTTATAAAAGGTAATTTTGTAAAGCCCACACATTCTGTCCTTTTTCTGTGCTAGCAGACCTGAATGAATGCAATTTAATAAATTGAAACTATGGCTCATTAAAACCAGAGCTAATTTGATGTCTGTAAGTAGATATGACAATATCACCATTGTGCTGACATCATAATACAGACAGAAGTGGACTGTTTGATTCATCAGTGCAGAACATTTTGACTTACTATTCTGAATAGTAAGTAAATGCATTATGTAGAATGAGGCAGCATCTCTCTAGATAAATAATAGCTTAATTAACATGTGCTAATTGTATGTCCCTACTTTAAACACATCTGCACAACTTAAACCTGTGAAAGCAACATGAGACGTAGTGTCTCTTAAAGAAAAAGGCAGTGATAGATTTTTTCATTATAATTTAGTGAATAAGACTAGACCTAAAAATTAGACCTAAAAATTACTCTCTTGCTATATTGTTTTAAATATTAATATTTATGCATGATAAAATTTAGCATGATATAAAAATTTGAATATTAAAAAGGAAGGGAAATCTATCATTAATGACTGTTACTATCATATTTCATTAATTCTTAGATCTGCTTTTTTCATAGTTTAACATCCTTTTTCACATTTAACTTCTCTGTGATTAGGATGCAACTTAGAGTGGATAATTTTTTTTATTAAGACAGTATTAGCAGATTATGGTGTTTTCTTGTGTATGTATGCCTTTTTATCTTGTTTGTGAAGATACTGCATATCAGCTTGCATAGAACTCAAACTTATAACTCTAAATTCAGTCTTCAATATACATTCTTCCTGATATAGTCTTCAGTATATCTTGAACTTACAGGAAAAAAAAATCAAGAAAAATTAAGGAAGAGAACCAGATACTTTCTTTATTCTTAGAACAGGGGCTGAAGGAATTAGGTTGACTTGAGAACTACAGGTTCTGAAGCTACTCAGAGGAACACAGAGATACTGCTGTCAGGAGTTGGCTGCTGGTTGTGAGGGTTAGATCCTGGGTAAGATGCATCTTTGCATTTCCTTCTGCAGATTCCTGAGTAGTATAATTTAGCTGCCATCCCTCTCTCCCTTTTCTTTCTTACAGCTTATCTGTGGAAGTAGCCAGATACTTTGATCTGTACAGATTCTGGATTATGCTGATTGCATAATTTTTCTTTATCCATTGTATTTCTTGTAAATTGATAGTTCAATCTAAAAGCTTGATCAGATTTAACTTTTCCTCAAGGTTGTTTTGAAAAAGAATTTTTCTTAGATGTTGATATGTATGAATATTATCTATCTAGAAGTATATAATGTCTGCTGGTCTGATTTTGTGATATTAGCCACCACTGATGGCTTATATCTAGATTATCAATATTGTTATCTTTCAGTGAGTCCAAGTCAGAAGAAGACATAACAGTTACCAATTTCCCAACCTATGCACTGAATATGTTACCAGAAGTTTAGGGCAGCAAGCTTGACCTTTGTGCTTTTATCTGGTAAGAGAATTCATGGAAGATGTAAACATAAGAAAAGACGATAGGAAGGTTTTTATAGAAAGGAAATATGGTAGAGAAAGAGAGGATGGATTTGTCATTGGTTGATCTTTTTTCTGTTCCCTGTGAAGTTGAGGTGCCAAAGATTAAGTGCCCATTCTTTTGTAACCTGTCATGTCTGTTGTCAGCAGGTTTTGGTTTTGCAAGTTAGCTTATCCTGCTATCTGTAAGTAATAACCCTACTTGACATATCCAGAGCTGAAGTGGTAATGTAGATACTTTTACCATCAGTATGAATTTTGAGAACAGTTTAATTTCTTTACACGTGCTCTTCTCATTCTTCCATTATTCTCTTAATTCTCAACTTAGTCTTTGTTCTACAAGCAAATGTATCTTTAATGTTTTCTAAAACTATAGCTCAAAAAGAAAATTCTCAGCTAGGCACTAGTGGCTTACACCTATAATTCTAGCTACTCAGAAGGCTGAGATTTGATTCAAAACCTCATGGGCTGGCTCTTACCTCTAATTAATTTTCTTTAATTTTTTTCTTATCTCCATGGTTCCATAATTATTCTTTTTATCCAAATGTCCATGGGATGGTATCCCTTAAATGCTTTCATGTTACGTATAGTTTAGTTTTTATACTTAAATACTTGATAAGATAATGAAATCTTTGGTCCATGTTTTCTTGAATATCTTAAATATGTTACTCAGTTGTTTTCTTAGCACAACCCACATAAGACCAACAAAAGGAAAACAGTAAAGTGTGGAAGAAAACAATTTCAGAAGAACTTTCCTTGCCTGCCTGCCTGCCTGCCTTGCCTGCCTTGCCTGCCTGCCTTGCCTGCCTGCCTGCCTGCCTGCCTGCTTGCCTGCCTGCCTGCCTGCCTGCCTGCCTGCCTGCCTGCCTGCCTGCCTACCTGCCTACCTGCCTACCTGCCTACCTGCCTTCCTGCCTCCTCTTCCCTTCCTCCTTGCCTTCCTTTCCATCCCTTCCTTCCCTTCCTTCCGTTCTTTTCCTTCCTTCCCTTCCTTCCCTTCCTCCCTTCCTTCCTCCCTCCCCCCCACCCCTTTCTTTCTATCTTTGTCTCTTCCTTTCTTCTTTCTGCTTGTCCTGGGGTTTGAACTCTGGGTCTGATCACTGACCTAGAATTCATTTTGCTTTAGGCTAGCACTCTACCACTGGAGCCAGAGTTCCACTGTGATTAATTGGAGATAAGAGCCAGCCCATGCTGGTTTTGAATCAAATCTCAGCCTTCTGAGTAGCTAGGATTACATGTGTGAGCCATTAGTGCCCAGCTGAGAATTTTCTTTTTGAGTTATAGTTTTAGTATTCAATTAACTTGCTTTAGTTTTCTTAGTTTAGGACAAGTTTTTAAAATTAAGGCACCTTTGTTTATTGACATAATTTATCACTTTTTCAAGTCAAATGTATCAATTGTCTATTTGTGTATAGGTTGTGTTTGTTCACGTTGGACTATTGTGTTTATTTGCTTTCACATTCCTTCTAGTTTCTTAATTTTAAAGTGATTTGTCTTAAAAATTTCAATTCTTTTATTGCCACTTTTGAAAGTTTTATAAATTCTGTTTTATGTAGTATAATTGCTTCTCAGTTTTTTTTTTTTTGGCTGAGTTCATGTTATAGATTTTATCTCCTAGAAATGTCTTTCTGATATGTCTTGTCCATTTTCTATAGAGATGTTCTAATCCTTATTTTTAAAAATAGTTTTGTAAATTATTTAACTTTGATTTTATATTATTGCTTCTTAATTTTTTCTTCCTCGCCCTGAAATTACTTCTTTGCAGCTTTTGATTTAGGAGAGTTTTTCTAATCTGTGCCCTGGAACAACTTCTTACTACCTCCTGGCCTGTGTACCAGTCCCACTGCTTGCTGCCTTAGCACTCCAGGCTGTTTCTTTCCTCTGCTTTGTTCCTGTGTTGCTCACATTGTGTTCTGGTACTGGTCAGTACAGTATTTCCTTAAGGCCAGGCTTTGTTCTGAAAAGGAGCTGTAGGGTACTGGTCAGTATAGTATTTCCTTTAGGCTAGGCTTTGCTCCGAAAAGGAAGTTCAGACACATTTTCTTCTTTTGTACAAAAGGAAACCTGATAGATAAATCAGAAAACAATACAATTGGTGGGAATTAACAGGGTGTGAATGACAACAAGTAAAAAACAGTGAATTGAATGTAGGAAGTATTTGGGACCATTGTAAAAACTTGGATAGACTCCTAGGTGAGTTTATAATGATTATGTCAATGTTAATTTCCTGATTTTGGTAATTATACTTTGGTTATATGAAATTTTTTTTTTCTGGTCATGGGGCCTGAACTCTGGGCCTGGGTGCTGTTCCTCAGCTCTTCAGCTCAAGGCTAGAGCTCTACCACTTGAGCCACAGCGCCACTTCCGTTTTTTTCTGCTTATGTGGTATTGAGGACTGGACCCAGGGCCTCATGCATGTAAGATAAGCACTCTACCACTAAGCCACCTTCCCAGTCCTCTGTGTTTTTTTTTTTTTTTTTAAGAAAATCAACACTGAACATTTAAGGATTAATTACTTTCAGAAGGTTTAGAAAAAAACTGTGTGTGTGCGTACATATGTATGACCAAAGAGTATGAAGTAAAGAAAAAAACAAAGCCAAGGTAGTAAAATGTTAATTAGAAATCTAGATGAAAAATATATGAGTTTTTTTCTTATTATTCCATCAGCTTTTATAGTGTGCAAGTTATATAGTTACTGTTAGTCATGTTCCCAAAATCATCTTTAAATGTTTCAGGTGCCTTTTTTGCGTTTACTATGAAGTTCTTGAGAAAGGAACCTGTTTTGTAGGTGCTGTGCAAGAGCTCTATTTGTGAGTGCAGTAGACCTTGGAAATCTGTGACTCAGTTATCAACTCTTTTTACATTGGTTTTATTTCTCTATAAATTTTGGAATTGGATGTATGGATTTTGGTGAGAACTGCTTCCAATATAGCAGTAGTTTAAATCTTGTTTATATTGCCTTTTCTTTGTTGAATCAACCTTGCCGTGGATTTCTGTGTTATTTTTTAAAAAATCTCATGTTTAGTTTTTCTTTACCTTTTTTTTTGTCAGTCGTGGGGCTTGAACTCTGGGCCTGGGTGCTATCCCTCAGCATTTCAGCTCAAGGCTAGCACTCTACCACTTGAGCCACAGCACCACTTCAAGTTTTCTGAGTGGTTTATTGGAGATAAGAGTCTCACGGACTTTCCTGGTCAGGCTGGCTTTGAACTGTGATCCTCAGATCTCAGTTTCCTGAGTAGCTAGGATTACAGGCGAGAGCCACCAGCAACAGGCTTCTTTACGTCTTTATTATCTGTTTTTTTTTAAAACTCTTTTGCTTTTATTTGCATTTGCTCTTATTTGTATTTCTTTAGTTAATGTTTTCCTAACATGATAGCAATTTTTCAGCAGTTGTAGAACTTTTTATGTTTCCTAATTTATGTATTGGTGGTTGTAAAAATCTCTCAGAAATAACACTTTTAATTGGATTCCACAGGTGGTTGTTGTATTGTTTTTGTTTTTTAGATTACTCAAGGTGTGGGCACTGTCCTTAGGCTTTTTTGCACAAGGCTGAAGCTCTTCCACTTGAGCTATAACTCCATTTGTGACCTTTACTGATTAAGTGAAAGTCACAGCCTCACAGACTTTTCTGCCTGGCTGGCTTCAAATTATGATGCTCAGATCTCAGCCTCTTGAGTAAGCTAGGATTACAAACATGAGCCACCTGCATCCGGCTCCCATGGTGTTTTATAAATATAATTTAACATGTTTGTTACTTATTGCTATGTAACAAATAATTCTCAAGCTCAGTTATTTGTAAATAAGTTTTTTTTTTCTCTCAGTTCTGGAGATAGCTTGACAGTTTCTTGTTTTGCCTAATTTTGCTTGTGAGACAATAGAAGTCTTAACTTTATTATTTTATTTTTACCCCTTCCAGTACTTTGGAAGTTATTTCCCCTTTTTTCTTTTGCTAGTTAACCAACAAATTTTAATATGCACTCCAGTTTTCAATCAAGTGTTTGTAGGCCATGTACCTTCCACAGAGTAAAAAGCCTTAGAATGGTACCTCCAATTTCTTTCCTCCTGATTTATGTGTGTGTCATGTGGTGTAATTTTTTTCAGCAGTGTTAAATCTATTGATGATTTAATTTCAATTGTATATTAAAAAAAATTGTTTTGTAGGCAGAGTGGGGGTGTGACCCAAGTGGTCGAGCATTAGCAGTGATCAGAAAAAGCCAAGCAAAAGTTCAAGGCCCTGAATTTAAGCCTCTGTACAGGCACCAAAAAATAAGAAAACGGGTTCTGTTTTGTGAAGACAAAACAAGGCCTGAGTTTCAGTAGTACTGTCCATGAGCTGGGGATAGCCTTGGCATCATGGATACAGAGATGAACGAAGCAGGGCCCTCTTTGAGCTGACCATGGGTGGGGGGAGGAAGGGCACAGCTTGTGGAGGAGACACAGATATCCAGTGAACTGTAAGGGGAGAGAATGGACCCATTTAAGATGGGTCACCATATAATTTATTGTCCTGTCTGGTTTGAAACTGAAAATGGAGGTACAATTTATCAGGATGGTAGGTGTAAGCAAAGATCATTCTGAACTGATAGAGATGATCATTCTATTCTAAGAAGGGCTGAGTTGTAAAGACAATCAGGAATTAAGCAGGATGACTGAGAATCTTTTTATGCAGAAGCAGGTAGTGTATATAAACATGGTGGAATGTAAAGTGTTAGGTAGAAGCATGTGAAATTGCCATTTTATAAGTGGGAAATGGTCAGACATTTGTAAATACACCTAGCTCAACCTGGCATATTAAGGTAACTTGAGCACAATGGGAGGAAATGAATCTGGAAAACAGGGCCAGAGCCAGATTATGAAGTTCTTGAGGGCTGGTTATGAGTTTATTGTTAAAGTGATTATGTGTTTATTTTTCAAGTTTTATGACAGTACTAATTTTTGAATAGGTAGTATATTCTCTTATTCTGAAGTTAAACAAATCAGTATGTCTTGTGTTTTCATTTGTTTGTTTGTTTTTTTGGGTTAGGTTTTGGTGTTAATGTTTCACTTGAAGCAAAAGTAACATGAAAGCTTTTTTTCTTCTTCTTGATCTATGCCCTAGAACAGTTACAACATTGTAACTGTCTCTTCTCTGCCATTGTATACAATTCCTACTATGAAGCTTTTTCTGAGGAGGTGGGTAGGTAGGAGATATCTGTTAACTTTCCCAGGTTCTCAATGCTGTAGTTTATTTAGTGTTTTTTTCTCTCTCTGCTGGGAGATCAATTTTAGAAAATCCTAATCTTATGTAAAATTTGTATTTTTTTATAGACGTATTTTTTTTATTGTGAAAATACCGTACAGAGGGGTTACAATTACATGGGCAAGATGAGTACATTTCTTAGCAAGCATTGTAGCCTCCGCCTTTGTTTCCCCTTCCCATCCCTTTGCACCCCCCCTCCAAAGTTGTAAAATTCGTTTTTCGACATAATGACTTGTACATCTCATTGTTGCAGTGGGTCCTCCTGTATCCCTGTTTTAACGATTTGTTTTTTCCCTTCCCCTCCACATATACCAACATCAAATACAGTGAAAGCAGGGGTTATACCATGGGGGAGGGACATACAAAGCAACAAAGTTCATTTGTATTTTTAAAGAGAAGTCTTTCGAAAGTTTTGTGATCAGTTTATTTTTTATCTTGTGTTTTTGCACTCTTTCTTTTAAAATCCAATCATTGGGTACTTTCTTTTCCAAAGAACCAGATCTTGGATTTTTATTGATTAATGTCAACACATTTTTTTTGTAGACACGGTGTTCAGTAAGGGTCTTATAGATGAAAGCTTTATAAAATGTGACTCAGAACATGAGTTCCCTTTATAGAAGGAAGGCCTTGATGCCTAGGTCTGAGGAATATAAACATGTGGTAGCCCTTTTTGCCCAAGTCACCAGTCTGCCCACGCTGCTGAGACTCTCCCACCATCTTGACTTCCCAGGGGCTGCATGTGTTTGGAATCTGAGCAAAGCCGAGGTATGATGGCTTGAACATTTTCAGCTTAATGAGAGTCCTCTGAAGGACAGTACTTGCTTCTGTCTGCTTGGCTGGAATTTTGCTGGGCCTGTAGTTTGAGTTCTGTTCATACTTGCTCACTGTGCCTTCCATTCATTGGTTTTGATTTCTGGCAAGTATTTTGCATCCCAGATGTGTCATCACTTCAAATTTTGACAAATCTATACTAACTTCTGATCTCATAGGACTAGTTTACTGGAAATAAGTACAAATAAAAACAAAAAAAAATGTGATCAGCACAGGGTATCCTGGTGTAGTATGTTTTGAAGAGGACTTAAGCCTGACTAATTATATTGTTAAGGAGGCAGCAGGGGCTACTACTTGAACTACTACTTTTTCTATTTTTATTTTATTTTATTTTTTTTTGTTTTCAGTCATGGGCCTGAACTCTGGGCCTGGGCGCTGTCCCTCAATGCCTCAGCTCAAGACTAGCACTCCACCACTTGAGCCACAGGGCCACTTCTGGCTTTTTCTGCTTATGTGGTGCTGAGGAATTGAACCCAGGGCCTTATGCATGCAAGGCAAGCACTCTACCACTGAGCCACCTTCCCAGCCCTGAGCTACTACTTTTTCTAGGCTAATTGTCTCATTTGTAGTAGGGTACTGACACAGGCTTTTTATTTGGTCTTTTGTCCTTTAGAGTACTAACCTAGGGTTCCCTGTGTGACGATTTCTGGTAGCAAAAGAGAGGCCCAGTGCACAGACATTTTTAATCTTGATTGTTAACTTGATTATATTGAGAAGTGTCTAGGATATTAGTAAAGTACACCTTTGGGTGTGTTTGTGAGGGCATTTCCAGAGAGAATAAACTAAGTGGGAATGACCTGCTCTGGTTAGGCATGTGTTCATGGTTAGCAGCACCAGCCAATACACTGGGTGCCTGGATGGAATAAGAGGGGAAGGAGGAGGAAGCATGCTTTCTCTTTTACCTGGTCACCAAAAAGTGAGCTGCTCTTTTTATCCCACTGATTCTGCCCTGATGGCCTGAAACTGGGAACCCATATCATATTTTCTTCCTAAGGTGTCCCTCCCATAATTGACACAACAATGAAAAGTCTGACTAAAACATCTAGCTTTCATTTATATCAGTTTGCTAATGTCCCATTGACCAAAACAGTTCATGTGGTCAAGATCTGATTCAAGAATGGAGGAGGGGCTGGGAAGGTGGCTCAGTGGTACAGTGCTTGCCTTGCATGCATGAGGCCCTGGGTTCGATTCCTCAGCACCACACTAGCAAAAACAAAAAAGCTGGAAGTGGCGCTGTGGCTCAAGTGGTAGAGCGCTAGCCTTGAGCTGAAGAGCTGAGGAAACAGCACCCAGGCCCAGAGTTCAGGCCCCACGACCGGACCCCCCCCCCAAAAAAAAAAGAAAAAAAAAAGAATGGAGGAATAGCTGACTCCCGTGGCTCATACCTGTTGGCTACTTAGGTGGCTGAGATAGATAGAGAGGCTCCCAGCTTGAAGCAACTCAGACAGGAAAGTCTGTGAGATTATATCTCTAAAATAAGTAGCAAAAAGCAAGGTTGGAGGTATTGCACAAGTGTTTCAGGGAAAGCTGAACAAGCAAGCCAAGTAAATGCAAGACCCTGAGTTCAAACCCCATAATTACCCCTCCCCCTGCAAAAAAATAGAAATATACTTTCACCTTCCCATGGGAGGACTTAGAAAGTGTTTGTATGTGAATATTTGCAGACATGTATCATAAAAATTACTGAACATACTGCTATGTAGTGGTACTTGATCACTATAAATATATAATATATAAAAAATATAAGTACATAAATATATAAATACTTGATCACTTTTTATAAATAATAATTAGTAGATATAAACTATGCCTAATTTGAAAATCAGAAATCTAAAATATGAAAGTTTTTGAGACCCTGGATTTTCAGATTCAGGATATTCAGTAGATAAAGTATATGCAAATATTTCAAAAATTGAAAAAACTTTAAAATCTGAAGCAAATATGACCCTCAGCATTTAAAGTTGGGCATATTCAACTTGTAAAGAAGCAGTTGGAACACCAGAGACATGGCTCAGGTGGTAGAATACTTACTAGTCTAGTATGCATGAGGCCCTGGGTTCAATCCCCAGTACATTAAATACAAAAGACAATAATGAAAAAAAAACTGGACTATTCTAGTAAGTGGATTTTTGTTTCAGTAGTATATAAAAGTGAAGATAATCATTTTGAGAATTTGATATACTCTTTTGACATCTTAAAATAATTTTAATGATGATAAGACTTTGCAAATAAAGTAAAGCTTTCTCTTTTTCCTTTACTCTGCAGTAAGAAAAGTGGAAAACCACCATTACAGAACAATGAGGTAAACATTTTAAATTATCTACTTCTTGAGATTTCATGGATCTATTTTACTTATTTTGTCATATGTTTTTGAATTGCAATAACTTACAGAATTTTAGGATTAGAAAGGAACTTAAAAGTATCACTTTTGTCTACTACATACTCTAATTGTTTCTGGAGTAGAGTCCTGGTATGTGTTCTTGAGCATTTATTTGACTGTTCATTTACCGGAGAGTATAATGATCTAAGGAAGTAGTCATAATTTTATTAGGTCAACCCCATGATTAGATTTATCCTCCATCTTATTTATTCTCCTCTCCCCCACCCCCACACTGAGTGCTACAATGGTAACATTCAACAAAGTACAAAAAACGGTGGCCTCTGTACCAGCTCATTTATAACTGGTGACAACAGTGATCACAGGGGCTTTATAAAAAAGGTATGATATAACTCTGGACTCCTCCACTCTAGAAGGGGTGTTGTAACACTACCAGTGACAGTTACCCCAAGAAATCCATCCTTTAGGGGGTAGATACTTTTCATGTAAATCGGCTACATTGTCTCTGGAAACTTGCTCCAGCTGTTTGCACAAAAGTGGTGGAGGTTGACTGAGCCTCCTGAGTAGGTGTCTCTGTAGGGGGCTTACTAGATGGCTTGGCAGGCCAGATCATAGGCGGCTGCCACTTCCAGTCATAGGAATAGCTTCCATCCATGACCACATAGGCATATACAGAGCCAGAACCTATGAACAAGGTGGCTCCAGAGATCCTGTTCCCTTCACTGTCCACATAGTGGAGTACAGGTCCTCTCTTATCCCAGCCACAGGTCATGGTGCCCTTGGACAGCCCCATGCCTTTGTACTGATATACTGTGTTCGCAAGAATCATGGAGGTAGCTGCTACCTAGATGCGTTCCTTATTTCAAAACTGATAGCTGATAGATTTGACACTGCCCAGCCAACAGCCACTTCCAGAAGCTGTAGTCCACCCCCAGCCAGGGTACCCAGAAGATAACGGTTGATCTCTGTTACTTTCTTCACTGTTTGTGAAGCAATGTAAGCCCCTGCTGTGGCCTGAGACAGCTGTAACAATGACTTCATGGGGAAACTTGAAGGCTAGCATGATGGTTCCATGAAGCATTTTGATTCACGGCTCCTCTGGAATTCCCCGGCTAGGTGCAGCCAGGCCCAGCCCATCTATGGGAACCAGGTTCACCAGATTCCCTCCACCTCCAAGTCCAAAAACCCCTGCTACTTTACCTGAAGCCTCTCCAATATGCTGGCCAGTGCTGTGTCTCTTACTTATTCTTTAAAAAAAAAAATCTTTTTAAATTTTAAGACAAGATCTTTTTATGGAGCCAAAGTTGGCCTCAGGCTCTCAATCTTCCGATTCATCTCTCTTAATCCTGGGATTACAAGTGTGTGCCACTGTACCCTGCATTCATCTAGCTTAATGATTGATTGACTGATTAACTATCAGTATTGTATTGCTTTGTATGAATCCCATATTATTAAAATTCAGCCTAAAATTCCTTTTACTTATTTTGTGGTAACTGTTGCTTACATTAAATTAATATAAATTATAACCTTCAGATACCTTTCTGATGAACAGTTCCTTGGACAGATTTCCTACATCTTGTATTCATCAGCTGATTTATCTTTTTTATTTATATTTTTTGTGTATTCTTTTTTTAAGCTGTTAATTTTTTATTCATTTGTCATTAATAGGTGTTCTAGAAAGAATATCTCTTTTTTTAATTGTAAAGGTGATTTACAGAGAGGTTACATTTACATAATCAGGTAATGAGTATATTTCTTTTTAAACAGTGTCACCCTCTCCCTTATTTCTCCCAGGTTTTTCCCCCCAACCTGCTTCCCCTGAAGTTTATAGTTCCTTTCCAACATAATGTCTAGTGAGTTTTCTCTCTCTCTCTCTTTTTGGTCAGTTGTGGGGCCTGAACTATGGGCCTGGGTGCTATCCCTTAGCTCTTCAGCTCAAGGCTTGCACTTTACCACTTGAGCCACTGCATCACTTCTGGTTTTTCTGCTTATGTGGTGCTGAGGAATCGAACCCAGGACCTCATGCATGCAAGGAAAGCACTCTACAACGTTCCCAGCCCCGAGTTGTCTCTTTTTTAACAACAGCTTAATTGAACCATCCACAAACTGTAATATTTATTTTAAGCATATAAATCATCAGTTATTAGTGTAGTCACAAAGTTGAATGGCTATTACCATTGTCTTATTTTAGACAAATTTCCAAAATCTCCAATAAAATCCCATATCCCAATAGCAGTCACTCCTTATTACCCTGTTCTCTGAACTCCTGAGAACCAGTAATCTACATTCTCTATTGGTTCACCTATTCTGACATTTTATATAAGTAGAATAATATAATATGTGGCCCTTTATGCCTATCTTTTTAAAAAAGTGATACTAGGGTTTGAGCTAAATAAATGTTAATTTATCTCTGCAAACATTATTGTATTTCACTGTACAGTATAATTTTAGATGTAATTCTTACATCCAGTATGTTAAGTTCAGGGTTAATAATTTGCACTCTATTCAAAATTGTTGCTAGTTATTGACTAAATAAAGATCAAAGCTATTATTCTGTAACATTGCTTAATCTTAGTGTTTAGGTTATGGTTGACTTAGCTGTAACTACATATAACTAGCAAAATCTGTTAGTTTCTTTCTTTCTCTTTCTCTCTTCCTTTCTCTCTCTTTTTCTTTTCTTTTCTTTCCTGAGGTTTGAATTTAGGGCTTTATATTCGCTAGGTAGATGCTCTACCACCATCCCTTTATGTTTTTTTATTCTTCAGCTAGGGTTTTGTGCTTTTGCCTGAGCTATGATCCCCCCTCAATTTCCATCTTCCAGGTGGCTGGGAATTATAGCTATTAACCAGTACACCTGACCTTTGAAACCTGGTTTTTATTTCTCCATTTCTACAAGAAGCATGAAAATTCTTGTGTAATTTATTAATTCATTTATTAAATTAATCTCAATATTTATTGAACCTCTCATGCCTGGCATTATTCTTGGCTTACAACATGTGGCAGTAATAAAATGAGTTCATACCCTTATGAAGCTAGTAAGCTTCTCTACATGTCAGCTAATATGCTAGAATAGTATCTTTAACAAAGGGAAAAATTAGAGCAGTTTAATATGACTTATTTTTAGTAAGCTTAAGCTAGCTTTCAGCTTTAAGTCTTTCCCATTCCTCCATATTATTGTGTAGTTTTTTAAATATCCTGAAGATTGATATCAGCATTCTTGCTTTTTAGTTTCTTAGTGTTTAAAAAAATGGGACAAGATATGTGTAAGTCCAGTCTTCTGACATATTTATTGCTCATATTTCATATCTCTCATATCTGAGCTGTCTTATTTATAAAATATCTTTTGTCAGCATGTTATATGTCTTTAAGTTCTAGGATGGCTAGATTCATCTCACTTATTTTGTTTCCTATTTTTCTGTATTTTTTTGTTTCAATACATAGTTATTTTCAGGTTGTTTAGTGTGAACAAGGTTATTTTAGGTTAGATTATATGATTGTTAGTAAAAAGCATAAACGCTATATCCTACTTCTATGCTTGTGAAGTTCTTAAGAAGTGTATATATACAGATATGCTAAAAAGAAAGGTGGTAGAATACATGCCAAAGAATAACAGCTGATGTCTCCAGATGGTAGGGATAGATATTTAAATTTTTGCTCATTAGGATTGTAAAAGTTTTCTACAGTGAATGTAGAGAGAAAGCATCATAAAAAATTCTTTTCTCATTAGTTTTTTTTTATTGTAATCATAATCTTTGGGATGGGATAGGGTGAGACAATCTTGTAAGATACAAGATTTAAGGAGGAACAAAGGAGTTAGTTAGAAAATAATAGAGAGAGAGTTTGACTTTAAAATACTTCATTTACTTTGGCTTAATACATATTGTTAAATTTAAAACATAAAAGTAAACACTGTGCTGGGTTTGGTATTTAGTATTCCTGTATGTATCATTACATATTTGAGGTGTGTGTATGTATGTATATATATGTATCTCCATAAACAATATAGGCAGGGTTATTTTACATATTTAGAAGTTTCATACATTTACTATAAAATGATTTATGTATCTCATTCTATATTTTTCCTGTGTAATGCCTTTTAGAGCCATCCATGTTGCTAGCTGGAGATCTAATTTTTTGTGTGTGTATGTATGTGCTGTTATTGGGGCTTAGTCTCAAGGCCTGTTTGGCTCTCTTGCTTATGGCTAATGCTCTACCACTTGAGCCATGTCTACTTTGACATTTAGTGCTTAATTGGTGATGGAGTCTCTCCAGCCTTTTCTGCTCTGGCTGACTTTGAACCATGATACTCCAGGTGTTAGTGTCCAAATTAATTAGGATTATAGGCAGGAACCACATGTGCCATCATTTTATTTATTGAAAGTAGGATTTTTCTGTGTAGCCCAGGCTGGCCTCAAACTCACTGTGTATCCTAGATTGGCCTTGAACTTGTGATACTCTCACCTGAGTCTCCACAATGTTGAGATGCTTGGCATGAGATATAATTAATTTATAGTGCATTTTTCTGTTGTATGAATATGAGCTATTTCCTATTTTATAATTGTTTATAACTTGCAGTGAATACATTTACCATAATTGCAATGAATACATTTACTATAATTCATGTAATAAGATGTACATTTAGGTTGTTTTAAATTATATGGTATTATAAACAGTGTACATGTTTTCCCATTTACATAACTGAGCATATATACAGGATATACAAGAATATATGGAGAATAGATTCCAAACAGTAAATCTGTTGGATTATTTTATATCTTACAGTCACTGTACATTTTCCATTGTAATGAATGACATATAATAGTACCAATTTACACATTCTCCAGCAATATAAGTGAATATTTATACTATTGTTAGCACCATATGGCCTTTTATTTAGTTCAAACATTGCCTTTTTAATCCCAGCGCATCCCAGTTTTCTAAGTTATCATATGATAGGGCATTGATCTTTGTCATTGTTACTCCCGAAAATTACATTTATTTTTCTGGTTTATTATTTATTATTTTTAATTTCTTAAATGATTTTTAGTAGAGCTTGTTTTTTTTCCCTTTTCCATCATTTCCATGTTAAACTTACGTGACCAAAGTGTTTAAATGATTATTTCTTAAATATTAGAAGTGGGCTGTGGTGCAGTTCAATGGTAGAGTGCTTGCTTAGCATGCACAAGGTCCTGTGTTCAATCCTTAGCATTGGGAAAAAAAAGTTCTAAATATTGGGATGTTTAAATATTGGAATAGTACCTTGGATTATGCCGCTATTAACGCAATGGCTTCAGGCTTCTCAGTGTACAGCTTTTTTCCTCCCTCTGTACAGTTTTGAACTATACTCAGTACCTATTAGGAGTCTTAGATAAAGCACTTAGCACAGTGTCTGACACAGAGAAAGTAGTTTATTCTGATTCAGTGATAAAACTATTAGTTCATCAAGTTAGATAGTAACTTAATTAAAGCACATTTACACTAATGTTGGTCTAGTATTATTTGGTCTATTATGGGCATTTGTTAAGAGCACAATAGAGTAAGGCACTACTGGCTTATGCCTGTAATTCAGGAGGCTGAGATCTGAGAATGGTGGTTTGAAGTCAGTCAAATAGAAAAAGTCTATGAGACTGTTACCTCCAGTTAACCACCAAAAAGCCAGAAATGGAGCTGTGATTCAAGTAGCAGAATGCCAACCTTGAGCACAAAAACTCAGGGACAGCTCCCAGGTCCTGAGTTTGAGCTGCGCAGTAGTTAACCAAGTAAGTGAGCTATGCCCATAAATGCCTGGAAAGAATGAAGCATGAGATCAAGTTCGGCCTCTCTTGCCTTTTCCAGGGAGTTTCTCTTGCCTGTTTTCCCAGTTCAAGAGTAGTAAAGTAAATATTGCTGACCATTGTTATGAGCAATGAGGAAAAACTGCATGTGCAGGATGCTTTGAGTTCAACACTACTGTGGGTGCTTCATTTTTTCCCATAATGCTGACACCTTCAGCTAATGGCATGCTGTCTTTCAAAAAATCTTAAATTTTCACTCCATCACTTAAGCACTTTCATGTTTGCCTTACTTTTTAGGAGACATATTTTCACAGAATTAATGATAGGGAAATACTCAGCAGATAGTAATTTAAACAGCTGATAATATGGGACTGTTGGAGAGTTTTTCTCCATCAGCTGAGCTGGATAATGTGCATTTGGATATTTACTTTTTTTGTTGTTGAAATTCCATCTGATTTTTGAAAAATTGGCTATCATTTTGACTGTGCTTGGTCAAAACTGCATAGAATAAATCTGTAAGCCAGGTGAGTTTAATGTCAGGCTTTTATGTTACTTCTTTATGTTTGCAAATTATTTTGTACTTATGTTTTCATGGGCCATTGAAAACAAAGTGATTTCTAAGGTCGATAAGGTTATCTTAAGTCACTGTTCACTGACACAAACTTTACTGTGGCCTTGAGGCTCTATCTTTCTGTCATTCTTGTTTCTTGGCTGTAGCATCTTGATGCTCAGTGGGTGCCGTAGTTCTATCACCAGCACTGGGTTTTTGTACTCAGTGTTCCCTGTGCCCCTTCTTTCTTCTAAATAGGCATGTGGCGTCACTTTCTCTCAGATTCAATGTCAGGATCTTTATGGTCATCCTGTCCAGTCATTCTTTTTTCGTATGACTTACTTACTTACTTTTATCCATGTTTCTCCTCGAATTTATTAGGAAGAGATAGTGCATTGGCATATTGCATATTGGAAATGTTAACTTTCTTTTTTCAAGGTGCACCAGGGTGTGAACTTACAGCATCCCATGCTTTCCCTGGGCTTGTTTTTCTCCCAGCAAGCATACTGTCACTTGAATCATCACATCTCCAGTCTAGCTTCTTTGCTATTTAATTGGCAATAAGAGTCTCATGGGCTTTGCTGTCCAGGCTGGTTTTGAATCCATCCTCAGGTATCAGCCTATCAAGTATCTAGGATTACAGATACTAGTGGTAGTGTGAGCCACCAGTACCTGACTGTCGATTAGCAATGTTAAATGATAAAACTGGGAATGTACACTTTTTTTTGTAATTAGTCAGAGACCATCCTGTTAAGGATGAAAAAAGAACAAGTCTTCTATTAATCAAGAAGTGGATAAGGATACTATTTTTTTAAATTAGTACTTCATTGTTTCTTTGACTTCCTTTACTACTGTACCTTTTTCCTCACTGCATTCAGACTGGCTGTTTTATTCCTCCTTCAAACATACCTTCACTTTGCTATTTTACACTTACTGGTCCATTACTACTGGATGTTCACATCTCACCTCTTTATTCAGTGTTTGAATATGAAGAGCAGTGTATATATGCTTTCTAAGTGCAACATCTGTTTTAATGGTTGCCTGTGTAATTGACTTGCACTAAATGTGGTTATTCAATCTAATTGTTATGCATTTGTTACAGCTATCTTAAAAGGTCTTTTTTTTCTTCCTCTTCCAAATATAGAAAGAAGGAAGAAAAGAGCGAGCTGTGGTGGACAGGGTGTTTTTATCAAGGCTCTCACAGATTCTGAAAATCATGGTCCCTAGAACATTTTGTAAAGAGGTAAGTCTTACAAGATTACAACATTAAATGGATAGCAATTCAAGATACATGAGATCAGAACAATAATAAATTTATCTCAGAATTGTCATTTGTCATGTGAGTACTCTTAATCAATGGCAATTTTTTAAAGTACCTTTTGAGATACTTTTTCCTTGTACTTTCTGTGATATGCTAGTATATTGTACTGTAGCTACCTTAAGTGCTGTTGTTTTATTATAATTAATACTGTCAAAAACAAGATGCAGTTTTAAAAGACAAAGCTTTTGGAAATCAGTAATATGGAATATGTTTGAGAGTTGTTTCTTTTTAGTTGATTTTATATATATATATATATATTAGATACTGCAAATAGTTTCTGAATTCTGAATTTTTAGGAAATGAGCTGATGATTTTGTCATTATTTCACAAAAATTTTAATGGTAAGTAAGTAGTGCCGTATTCCCAGCCTTTCCTCACCCCAGCATTCTCTCATTCTATAACCAGATGTATCACCATCTCCTATTCTTTCTTCTCATATCTCATCCTTTCAGTTACTGCCATCTGATTTTTTCCTCTATTTTTATCTCCTGGATGTTACAGTGATCTTTAATTAGGTATAATCTTAAGACCTCATTTTAAAAGCTTTATTTTTTCTGTCCCAATTTATTTCTGAAAGCAGTGCTTCCCTTCCCATTGTTAAAATTTTAAGAAGCATTTGTTTATAGCAGTAGTGAGACAAAGATACAATGCGTAGCAAGCACTGCAGCTCCTAGGAGAATTTGGTTCTTCCAATGTAGGCCTTGCCCTTCTTCCTCTTCTCGGCCCAGCCCTTGTCCTGTGCTCTGGGCCTCCATTCATTTGCAGTGACATCCTCTTGTCTCTGACATCCTGCCCCTCTGCCCCCAAACAGTATGCTTAATAGATAACCTTCAACACTGCTTTACCTTTTTTTGTGAAAGCGTCACTACTATTTAGGCATAACTCATTATTAATTATTAATTCTACAGCCCATCCAGCTCTGAAGACCCCTTATTTAAAATACAAACTTTTCTGTGAAGAGTGACATATCACCCCTCTAATCCAGTTACCAACTCAATGCTCATTTTTTTTAAAGTGATGGAGGGTTTGCTACATGTAAAATGAATGAGGCATGGACAGGTCCTCAGGAGTTCGTGAGAGGATTATTTTGCAGCTTTCTATTTTCATCTGGCTCTAGCCAGAGTAATTTTAGGGGGAAAAAAATCTAACCTCACTCAAACTCCAGTTCAAGAATGCAAATTAAACTCCCTTAGAAAGCACCAAAGATGAAGGTAGAGTTAGAGAAATGAAAATGCTGCATGTGACTGTTTGGAATTTCTCACATATTAAAAGCTGAGGGATGGACTGCCTACATCATGGAACTCTAGTTTCTATTGCATAAACACATTAATAAGGAAATAGTGGTGGTTCTAAGAACATTGTTTTAATTATGATATTTTAGAATGAGAGAAAAGTAAATAAGCTTTTATGCTCCAGTGATTAATTTTGAATTGAGATATTTAAGATCTGAATTAAAAGGTGGCATCATGTGTCTGTGGTTAGTATTCATTAAAGTCAATAGATTCTTCTGCTGTTGGTTGAATACCTAACTTAGGAATGGTAAGATTCGTTAGGAAAATAGCAAACCTTGGGGTAGCAGGTATCACAGCTCATTCACACAGACTCTTTGATGTTTTCTTATGATTCCATGTAATACTTAACCTGCTATGAATCTGCCTTGTATTTCATTTAAAGGCTGTATTTTTAAGGGCTTTTCCTTTTCTAAACAGTATTTGTTTTATAAAAATTAACTGAAAGATTCAGTTGTCCCTTATTTCAGTAATTTGGAACATAGTATTTGTCTAACAAGTTCTGCCTCCCATGTTCCAAAGCTCTTTGCTCTGATTTTCATCTCTATGTTTTGTTTCTAGGTTGTATAAACTCTGCTGGATATACAATACCAGCCATACTTCATATGGTTTAATATATTTTTTCCTCCTGCTAAATCCTCAGCCTTTCTTTGCTCTTAATCTTTATTGTTTTTACTTGGTCTGTTTAACATATTTAACATACTCGTAAAGCCATAAGTGGCTTTTGCTATTCAGACCTTGCCATCCATCATTGATATGAATTATACAAATATGAATAAATTTGTCTGTTGTTTTTCTGTTCACATTTCATTCTTTTTAGAAAACATTCTTAAGTAGCTGTTCAGTTTATTTTGATCAGTGTCACCCCTTTCATCATTCTCTCTTATCTCTTCCACCCATCCCCTCAATTTACCTAATTCTGTTTTCACATATGTATATTGAATATTATAACTTACACATGAATCTTACCTTAATTAATAGGTTAATTGAAAACCTTGTGAAGACAGGGACACTATTAGAGACTTTTCTAACAAGTTGAACTAAATGTTCATATTGACATTATAACTTATGAATTGTTCATAAGTTAAATTTCTGTCCTTGACTCTTTGAAGGTAAATTGTTTGACTTAAGATTCATCTTGGGAGAGAGCGAGGGAAAGGGTGACTATCCAAAAAGAAATGTACTCATAGCCGGGCGCCGGTGGCTCACGCCTGTAATCCTAGCTACTCAGAAGGCTGAGATCTGAGGATTGCGGTTCAAAGCCAACCCTGGCAGGAAAGTCTGTGAAACTCTTATCTCCAATAAACCACCAGAAAACCAGAAGTGGCACTGTAGCTAAAGTGGTAGAGCACTAGCCCTGAGCTGAAGAGCTGAGGGACAGCACTCAGGCCCAGAGTTCAAGCCCCAAGACCGACAAAAAAAAAAAAGTAAAAAGATAAAAAAAAAAAAGAAATGTACTCATAACCTGACTTATTTAACTGTAACCCTTCTGTATATCACCTTTATAATTCAACAAAAATAAATTTTAAAAATTCACCTTGGAATTTTGGATAAGAATATTAAATGGTTTGTAAAGACTCTTCCATTTATATTGTTATTTTAAGTCCCTTTTAAACTATATTTAAAAATTGACTACAGTTAAAATGTAGACCAACTACACTAACTTACATAAAGCTTTGAAATCTGAAACAAAAAATTTTGCCAACGTATTATTTGTTCTAACTTTAAAATGCATGAAGTTTACTATATTTGGTTTATTTTAGACAGGATATTTGATACTTATTGCTGTTATGCTGGTATCTAGAACATACTGTGATGTTTGGATGATTCAAAATGGGACACTCATTGAAAGGTACTTGTCCTCCTAATTTGTCACGTATTTAAACATTGTTTCCCAGTTTTTTTTAAGATTGCATTTTGTTAACAATACGTTGTGTAACTTTTCGTCCATGTTTCAGTGTTAGAGTGTATATTTGTTTCCTAATTTGGGAGGAGAAAACTCTCTTTTGTATTACCATGCCTGTATCCATCTTCTCAATGTTATACTGCAACTTATTGTTATTATTAACTGTTATTAACTGTTACCTTAACTATTTATAGCTAAGCCACATGCTGGGCTTTACAGAATTTTGTTTGCCCTGGCAAACAAAAAAAATGTTTGTTTTTTTTTTTGGTTTTGAAATTAACTTTTGCCTGCTATTCTCTGTAGTTCAGCTCAAGGTTTTTGGAAGTATTATAAAATCTTGATAACATTGTAACATGGTCAAACATACTGATTATTTAATCAGTCAGTTTTGTGTGTGCTTTTACCCTCTCCTTGTGCTCCGGCTCTGATCAGACCCACTGAATAGCAGTTATGTTTGAACTGTTTTTATCATTATTTTGGAAATAAATTTCTTTCATGTGTTTTCTGCATTAAATAATCTGTTTCCTGGATCTTTTACTATTATTTTGCCCTAATTTTACTTTCTCATTTTGGCAAACAAGCTTTCTGTGAAAAGGAACAAGGAAAGTAAAAGTTTTGAGACTTTGCAGATCTGAAGCTATCTTGTACTTCCATTATTAATTAATAATTTAGATGCATTTGTTCATTCCAAGTTGGAAGTCATTTTTTCACTGGAATTTTGAAGCACTTTTGCCATCCTAGCTCTCAACTCTGGTTGTGGGCAGACTAGGATAATTGGTGGAATTGTAAGAACTGCTAGTGAGTGTACCATCCTAGCAATTCTGGTTTGGTTAGCCATTACTTTTGGAAACACCCTGAGTAATTTTAATATGCTAAAAAAATTAAATACTACATCACTGCATATCTTATGTTAAGTATTGGATCTAGTTATATTCTTGTTGCCCCTTCTTTAGTAGAGATTCTGACTTCCCCTCAAAAACAATGCTTTAAACATTAGAAAATATTTTAATTGTTGATGTCTTATTAGTGTTTGACAATTTTACTGACCATTGTTAAGATTTTTTTTTTCATCATTAATTGTACAGGACACTGGATAGGTTCCTTTCAACCTAAAAATTTGTTCTTCATTCTGGAAAAATTTTTGTTGTCTTCTTAAAACAATTCTTCCCATATTTTTTCTGGAATACTTGGTTAATTGTTGAACCCTCCTGACCTAATTGTTTTATTACTTTTAAATTTCTCTACTGTTTTCAGCTGGCAATTATATTCTATTTTCTAGGAAATATCTTTATCATGCATTGAACTATGGTTATAATTTTTAAAAATTTCCATCAACTGTCTTTTATATGGACATTTTTTTTTAGTCGGTCGTGCAGCTTGAACTCTGGGCTTGGGTGCTGTCCCTGCGCTCTTCAGCTCAAGGCGAGTGCTCTACCGCTTGAGCCACAGCGCCACTTCTGGTTTTCTAGTGGTTTATTGGAGATAAGAGTCTCACGGACTTTTCTGCCTGGGCTGGCTTTGAACTGCAATCCTCAGATCTCAGCCTCCTGAGTAGCTAGGATTACAGGCGTGAGCCACCGGCGCCCGGCTTGGACATTTGTTCTTATAGGAATTATACTTTCAAATATGAAATATTTAATATCTGAAGCTACTAATTTTGGTTTGATTTGTGTGTGTATGTTTTAAAGTTTGGAGTGTGTTTTCTATCTCTCCATGGTCCTTTTCATTCATGTTAGAGAATTTTCCCAAACAGTCCATGATTCTTTGCTGTAAATCCATATTTTAAATGAATGCTTTAAAAATCAGGAGTTTCAGGCTTGTTGATTGTCTGCTCTCCCTTGAAGGGTGTTTGTAGGGGCTTGTGTGTGTGTGTGTGCACACATATGCGTGCATGGGCACACCTAGTGAGGAATCCTACAACAAATTCTAAGAACTTAAATGTAAACATAATTGGAATGCTTGTTCATTGCTCCTATGATACCAGCTTTAGGGGAATAAATTTTATTACTAGGTTTGGTTTCTGTAAACTTCATGCACAAGTAATTTGAGCCATATGTATACATGATGGAGAGAATATATTTTTTAACGTAACATGTAAACTTAAGCTTTTCCTTTGATAATTTCATCTCTAATTTCTGTTGGTAAAAATACAGTTGTCTTCCCCCAACTATGTATTGTTTGTTAATTTCCTTGTGGCAGCTGCTAGGTACATCATCATCTTAGGAACCTGTTTAGAATCACCCACATTATAAATTACATTTTGTAGTAATGGAATGGATTGGAAATTTATTATTTAAAGTTTTTCTATTTTCTTATTTTATAATTTTGTAATCAAAAAGAATATTACTTGTTTCTAAATTAGGGATATTCAACCTTAATTCTACAGATGCTAGCTTTTGATTTTCTCAAATATTTAAAAACCTGAGAAAAATGCATCACCAAGAGCAGGTGATAGTGGACAAGAGGAAGCTACTGTATAGTACAGGCCAATTTGTATTTCCTGTAGGTATCAACCTATTGGATACTCAGTTTTTAAATTGTGAAATAAAAATTTGTTTATAATTTTTTCTACAAATTCTCAAAAACATTTTATGAAACATTAGTTTGGTATCTTAAACCTTACAGAAAAGTTGCAAAATAGTACAAAGAACTTCTCATACCCTCAACTAATACTTGTCAGTTATAAAGTCATCATTTACTTTGTTAGCTTTATCCTAAGTAAATATTTTTGAGCATCTGCTGTATATGAAATCTTTATATTTGCTTAAATATTAACATTTAATATTTTCCAAGTTAAAGGTTTAAAATATGACACATTCTTAATGTAGTAGAATTTTATCAGAAAATTATCATGTTTCTGTATCTTACTGTTAAAGCTACATTGTAAATAGATTTATCTGTTTCCTTTTGGCTTCTTTCTAAGTAGGTTTAAATTCATTTTTTTTTTTTTGCTGCTTAGAAAGTCTCCAGGAGGAGTTGTTCTTTTTTTTTTTTTTAATATTTTCTCTTTGTTTTTTTTTAGTTTTTATTTTATTTTTATTTTTTTGTGTGCTGGTCCTGGGGCTTGAACTCAGGGCCTCATGCTTTTTGCTCAAGGCTGTCACTACTTTTTTTCTTTTTTCTTTTTTTTTTGGAGGGGGGGGGTCCGGTTGTGGGGCCTGAACTCTGGGCCTAGGCGCTGTCCCTCAGCTTTTCATCTCAAGGCTAGCACTCTACCACTTGAACCACAGTGCCACTTCTGGCTTTTTTTTTCTTTTTGCTTATGTGGTGCTGAGGAATCAAACCCAGGGCCTCAGGCATGCAAGGCAAGCGCTCTACCACTGAGCCACCTTCCCAGCCCCGAGTCATGGTTCTTAATGGGCTTCAAGATCCGTTTTATTTTTGCCCATACAAGCAGCATGTTAAAATCACCAAACTTCTCTAGAGTCCTTAAAAATTTTAGAGGTAGTAGTGAGTAGGTCTACAGTAAAGATATTCTTTATTAATTATTATTTTTCTTTTGCAGTGGAATAATAAGCAGGAATAAGGCTTTATTCAGAAAACCATTTTTTAAATTTATTGCTGCTACCCCACTGGTAATCCATTGTTGAGTGCTGGCATGTGCTTCACCAGTATCTTATAATCTTAAGTGTGTCACAGCTCGGGCAGCATGAAAGCACTTTGGTTTTACATGGTTTGTTTGTTTCAAACAATGTTAGCTTAAACTTGTAAACGTTTGGTACTCTTCTAATTGCTTGTTTTTTTTCTAATATTCACATTAAGCACCATTTTTATATAATTCTGTTTTAACATTTTCCTATTTCAAATGTTTTTAGAAAAGCATTTTTGCTTTTTAAAAGTTATATCAGAATCAGACTTAATTTTTCTAGTTTTCCCCTGAAGTATTACCAAGGAAATGTTACATGCTGTAAACCATTCTCAGAGTGCTAGAATGATCTCATTATGTATTAAAATCGTTGAGAAGTTCTTTGGTAAAGATACTTGTTAGAGCTGGGTGCTGGTGGCTTATGCCTGTCTGTAATCCTGGCTGAGGCTGAGATCTGAGGATGGTGATTCAAAGCTACTCCCAGGGCAGAAAAATCTGTGGGACGCTTATCTCCAGTAAACTACTCAGAAAAAAGGAGAAAGTGGCACTGTGGCTTAAGTGGTAGAACACTAGATTTGAGTGCCCAGGTCCTGAGTTCAGGCTCCAGGACCAGCAAAAAAAAAAAAAACAAAAAAACCCCAAAAAACAAGATATGTATTGGCTTTGTTTAACCCAGATTTCCTCCAATTCAAAGAAGATTATTTTCTTATTGTATACCAGCAATATTTTTGTGAGGAGTTAGGTGTAAATCATTTAGCACAATATTCAAAATATTATTTTATTATATTTGGGAATATTAATAAGAATTAAAACTTTACAATGAAATAGCAAACTTACTTTAAATTCTTAATATTTACATCTATCTATCTATCTATCTATCTATCTATCTATCTATCTATCTATCTATCTATCTATCTATCTATCTATCTATCTATCTATCTACCTACCTACCTACCTACCTTTTTTGTTGTCGTGGGGCCTGAACTCTGGGCTGGGAGCTGTCCCTCAGCTCTTCAGCTCAAGGCTAGCGCCCTACCACTAGAGCCACAGCACCACTTCGGGCCTTTTCTGTTTATGTGGTGCTGAGGAATCGAACCCAGGGCCTCATGAATGCAAGGCAAGCTCTCTACCACTGAGCCACCTTCCCAGCCCATCCATATATTTTTAAAAGATGAATATATAAAACAGAACAAAAGTAGATGAAACAGTAGCTGATTTTGTTTGACATTATAAGGGACCTGCCTGTCTACAGAGCCATCCTGAGACTTCACCTGTTTGTAGTTCCAGGGTGGGCCAGTTGGAACTCACAGGTGACATCCCACTGCTAACCTTTTATATAAGTAAAATCTTAAAATCCCACAGGAGCTACTTCTACTCTCTCATGGCAGAACTGAGTAGTTGCAAGTAGAAATTAATGGCCTACAAAGCCTTTATAAGTTTAGTCTTTTTTTGTGCCATCATTTGTTCATGTCAGTGAGAATCAAGGATGTCAAAATACTTGAAAACATAGATCTGAGGATCGTGATTCAAGGCCAGCCCACCAGGAAAGATTGAGACTCTTTTCTTGGATAAACTACTCAGAAAAAGCTAGAAATGGCACTGTGGCTCAAGTGTTAGAGGGCTAGCCTTGAGAAAAAAAAAATCTCAGGGATAGCATCCAGGCCCTGAGTTCAAGCTCCAGGAGATAATCAATCAATCAATCACACACACACACACAGACACACACACAGACACACACACAGACACACACACAGACACAGACACACACACACACACAGACACAGACACACAGACACAGACACACACACACACACACACAGACACACACACACACAGACACACACACACACACACACACACACACACACACACACACACACAGAGCAAATGCTTCGTGGCATCACAGTTTCCCATCCCTGGAGCTATATGCAGTTGTTAATTATTTGACCAGCTAGACTCCATTTGTGGCAGCTGTGTCTCCCCCAACCCCACCTGACTCCATGACCTAACCCAGGACCTTCTTATTAAATGTTCTCATTATAGTGAGGTTCAATCAAGCTTTATTTAAGATGGTGACATTTCGAAAGTTGCAAACTTGTTTATGTAAGAAAATGTTTTTTCATATCTTTTTTTCCTATTTTGATTGAGTAGGAATTCCAAGCAATTTTAGAGCTTTATAGAAGTTTATTTAATGTTATATTTTGCTTTTTTTTGCAACTAATGCATTGCATGTCATGGTTTGCAGTGGTATCATTGGTCGTAGCAGTAAAGATTTCAAGAAATACTTATTCAACTTCATCGCTGCCATGCCTCTTGTAAGTTTACTTCTTTAAAAATGCTTATTTAAATAGGGGAAAATTTCACCTTATTAAAAATCTTTGAAGAATTTTAGAAAATGTACTCTTTTAAAGATTTGTATTTTGTTCCAGTTTTGATTGTGTATCCTATTTTTTTCAATGTAAACCTTTATACTAGATAGAAAAAAGAGAGATTTCATTCAGTGTCACTTACAGTATACATATGTGTATATTATATATTATATAAATATACACACATATACTTTCTCTTTTCATTCTTTCTTCTTTAATCTTCAGCACAAATATTCTCCACTGCTTAGCAAACATCCTGTTGCATGGCATGTCTCCCAGTTGTAAACCAAAATTATTTTCAGATACTGTCAAGATGGGATTGAGACAGAGAGACAGATTTACATCATCTTAGTGGAAAGTCATTATTTTAGACCATAACTCGAGCCACTATTAAGTTAAATTGAAATTTGTGATCTGAATTTATTAAAAGGAAATTGTTTAGTCTAAAATGTAAGCCACTTCCTTAGCTTGGCTTTTATTCTTATTGTACTGTAACGCTTTTAATAGTCTTAATTTAAGGGTCAAAAACAGAAGCTTGGCTGTAAAAAGCCAATTCAGTTGAAAATATGCAAGACACTCCAGCTTATAAAGCTTAAAGATGGGCATACGTAGTTTTTAGACTTTTAAAATCAAAGGTTGAGATAAACAACAGATATGAAAGATTGGTTTCCACAGAAGCCCATCATTTATATAAACATTGAGAAAACTTATAGTAAATTTGAATTAGAAAAGTAAATGTGAATTTGGAACTTACATTTTTAATGATAGCAAAGATGAGTAAAGTGTTTAAGAAATAATCTAAAAAAAGTGTAAAATTTACATTATTTTTTAAAACAAAGACACAAAGTATAGAAATTCTATTGTCTAGGTTATAGACAGCTAATTTGTAGGTAAAAATAAAATGAACATAAATGCCTGAACTTCTAGCCTCAGATCTTTTACATTTGATAGAAAGATTACAGATTTGATTGTTTGCCAGAAAAACATGACAAGAGAGATTACATAATAAAAATATTTTTTATTAAGTTCCAAGTAAAGTTTAACTTAGGGTAATTAAAGTCCGTTTCATTTGGCTTACTTTGTGGGTCTTGCATTGTTATAAATTCTGAGTAAAACAGAACTGAATTATATCACTAGACTATCAGTTATAAAAATTACAGGATTTAGGGATGCAGCAAATGATAGAGAAGTTACAACTTAGAGAAAATAGAGCAAAAACAATATTTGTTTGTTTTCAGATCTCTCTGGTTAATAACTTCTTGAAGTATGGGTTAAATGAACTCAAACTATGCTTCCGAGTAAGGCTCACTAAATACCTCTATGAGGAATATCTCAAGTAAGTGATAACCTATTTTCAAATTAAAAATACCTATATTGAATAGTATTGTGATAATGAGGTAGAGATGTTTTTCTTTATTTATGAATTACTTTTCAAGAAAAGATCTTACACTCAGCAGTGTATTATTAATACATTTGAATGAAATCCTGGCTCTCCTTGAGTTGACAAGTTTCAAACCTGTGTGTGTGTGTGTGTTAGATAGCAAAATGTGAATTTTTTAATTTGTTTTAAAAATCATGTCTTAAAATCACTTTTTGTTCTTTTAGATCTTTCACATACTATAAAATGGGAAATTTGGACAACAGAATAGCAAATCCAGACCAGCTGCTCACACAAGATGTAGAAAAATTTTGTAATAGTGTAGTTGATCTTTATTCAAATCTTAGTAAGGTAAGTTTTTCTATTTTTAAAAAAAAAGGTGTTGGGTTGAAAATTTAGCTCAGTGGAGGAGCACTTGCCTGGCAAGTACAAGGCCCCGAGTTCAATCCTCAACTCTACAAAAAAATCATTCTTTTTGCTAAAGTTATTGAATTTTCATAGAATTTATTGGATGGACAGAATAACATATCAATATTTAATTTTTTATAAGAAAATTAGAATGGTTACAATTATTTAAATTATTTTTTGAGGTGGTTTGGTCCCAGATTGATAATTTAGTGCCTTTTGACAATTTTGAGAGAGTTTTCCGAGTTAGTTTAGTAAAAAAAATTTGAATTCATTTCTTCACCTATGTACTTCTAGCAGTTGTTAGAATTTGATTTGTCAATTTGTTTTCAATTCCACATCTCTAATAACTACACAAAGGACTTCCTGTTTTCTTATTCAATGTCTCTTAATTCTAATATATCACTTTGAGTCAAAAGATTTTTCCAAGATATAAGTTTATTTTAGTTTTCTAATTACTATTTTTCCCTTTCTCAGAATATTGCTAAAACATTTATCTTGGATAGGCCTTAAACAAGTTTTCTTTCTTCCTGTTAGTTCCATCAGTTGTTAGCTGTCTTCTCATCTTGTCACTTTTACACTTTTGTATAGTCTTCATTATCTGCTGCATTGACTAGCACGTGGAGTAGCATCTATAAGATTGTCTGCCCAGGATCCCCCTCCCTCTTCATCTTAGATGCTCCACCTTACACTCTAAGCAACATGACTGCCTTTGGGCTCGGATAGGAGCTTGTCTCAAATTGGCTTGATTATAATATCTGTGCTTCAGGTCATAATTGACGTATATATTCAGTCTTTTGACAAAAATACTGTATAAAAGGGACTAGATCCTGGTGTAGGACTAGGAATGCTCTTTCCTTAACCATGTAGATGGAGGTCACAGAGTCAATTCTTAGAGGTTAATTGTGGTACAGGTCCACTAGTAAAGAATCTTTCACCCATGCCAAACTTTGTTATTTATTTAGCTCTCCAGAGGCCTTTGTTGACTGATCCTAAACTGTAGGAATTCTAACAACTAAAAGTAGTCTAATAATTAGCTTTCTTTTCTGATCCTATTGCCACATTACAAGTTTGCTTTCTCTGTACATGGATGAGGAGTCGTATATAGGTAGAAACTTGTTGGGATTTTGTAGCCAATTTCATAGTTAAATTATTGTATATCTTTTATGTCTTGGCACTTGAGCAAATGCGGTCTCAGGTCTTGTGTACCTGGGATAGAGATGAAAGTTTTCAAATTAATTAAAATGTTGCTATTCATGAAACATGTTGAATCATGTTTGGTGTCTGGCTAAATTGTCCTTGATAAGTCAAAAATGAAAAAGTACATCTAGTACTAGCTAATTCATAACCCAAGCCAGCTATATTAGTAGTAATGTAGATATTAGATTTAAAGTGAAAACACACAATTTGGGTTCCTTGAAAAACATTACAAAAGCATTTATTACTAAAAGTATTACAATAGCATTTTAAAAAATGTAAGTCTAGGTAACCTAGTTCTTAGATACAGTTCTTAAGTTGTCTCTGTATGTGGAACAGAACCTTAAGACTCTGTTTCTGGAAGTGTGAGTTTTATATCACAAAATTAGATTTCATGGTACCACTTGATTATTTCATTGAATAATTGTTGTGATTAAATACAGTAACAAACTCAAACAATATTAGAGCAGGGAGACCCTCTCATTTTACAGGTGAAGATTTATAGAACCTAAGTAAATAGGTAGCAGATTTGGGATTACAATTCAGGTAATCTTGTTCAGTGACTTTTAGGCTACATTGATAAATTACTGAATTACGGTTAATTATCATGGGAGAACTATTTTAGTTGATAGAAAATATGAAGTGTTTTACTTATCAATAGACATTCTTTAGAAAATATCCATTTAAAATTCCTTAATAACTAATTTAAAGTGTATTTATTGATCTATGTCCTATTATGTGCATTGAGAACTCTACATGTTGGTAATGTTAAGTAACATTTTGTATTTAATATGCATTAGTTACCAGTCCGGACAATTGAGTTCTGGGGTCTAATGTTATATATTTTGATATTTATTTTACAGCCATTTTTAGACATAGTGTTGTATATTTTCAAGTTAACAAGTGCAATTGGAGCTCAGGTGAGTTTCCTCTTATTTTACCTTTTAAATTGCTAGCTTGATACTTTTAAGATTTTTTTTTCTATCAACATGTTTTTAAATAAATGAAACTTAACATGGCCTGGTTGTAAAACAATACTGTAGTAGGGATTTTAAAGATATTTTAATTGGGCTTTTTAGTGTCTCTTAAGTCAGAGACTCAAAAACTTTTGGCAGTTTATAACCAGAAATACTTAAGAATTGAATGTACATGCATGCTTTATTTACTACAAAGTAATGTTGGAAAGCAGATTTGGAGACAATCATTTTAATGTAAAATATAAATGTTAAAATATGGGCTGGGAAGTTGGCTCAGTGGTAGAGCGCTTGCCTTGCATGCATGAGGCCCTGGGTTCGATTCCTCAGCACCACATAAGCAAAAAGAAAAAAGCCGGAATTGGTGCTATGGCTCAAGTGGTAGGGCACTAGCCTTGAGCTGAAGAGCTGAGGGACAGTGCTCAAGCCCAGAGTTCAGGCCCCACAACCGGACCCAAAAAAAAAAATATATATATATATATATATGCAGTACATTCAAAATAAGGATAATAATTTCAAGCATATTTTATAATAATATAAATAGTTGCCAATACTTTGGCTGTTGGCTACATTATCCTGTCTTTGATATTTGTGGTGGCAAAAAGTACCTTTAAATTTTCTCTGAATATTTTCATTAGAGTTTAACGTGTACTCTTTAATATGTATTATTATGCATGTGTAATAATCATACTGTGTGACTTTGTGTACGTAGGTATATGCATATGTATTTTGTAGGTGATTAGCAATTTATACTTTTGTTTTTGCCTTCCAAAAATGGTAAAATAGTTTTTCATTTTAATTTTTGCCAATTAAAAAAAAACTTTTTGCTACCTCATGATTCAGATTCAATCATTGTGATAGTATATTTGAATGAATAGACCTAATTTCTCTTGTCTCTGTGCTGTATTAAGGTATTTGCTTTTATTTTTCTAATTCTTAAGAAGTATATTTTCATTTACTTCTGTTATCTGGTTCAGCATTTCTTAAAAGGAGTTTTAGTCATCTCTGTGCTCCCTATTTGCAATAATTGTTGAAATCAATCAAGCTTAATTTTTGAAAATGTTGAATACATGCTATGTTAAACTTAAATAGTAGAACTTTTATAAAGAAAGTTCTTACTGGGGCAAAATTAAAATATGGTAGAAGTAGGTTTTTCAAGCAGTTATAATGAATTCTGATAATGGGAAGTTTCAAACATATATTTAGTGTTTGTATGATCTACAGCAGATAGTTGACCTGCTTTGAGGCAGTATGTAATGTCTGTTAAGTATGGTAAGCCTGCCAGACATGAATCAACTTCCCTGAATAACAGTTCAGGAAATTGTTATTTTGGTATGGCAGATAGGATGTATGTAGGAATGAAGAGAGGGCCTATCATGAGCTTGGAAGCTAAGCTTGAAGCCCCTTAAGTTGGTCAGTAGTGATGAGGTTATTGACAAAAGTAAGTAGTATAGTAGCTGAAGCAGGGTGCTCAAGCAGGGAAAAGCTGCTTGTTGGGTGATTATGCTTGCAGCATATATGCTTGCAGTTAATACCATAGGCAATTAATACTATAGGTTTCTAACTGTGATGGGAATAGAAGTATAAGTTTGGGAAAGAGAAGATGGCCAAGGAAGGAATCGAAGGAACTTGAGGAAATATTGAATATTCAAATAGGAGGCAAAAAAGAGATCTGAGAATTTATTGTGGACTCTTTAGAGAATACTAAGGTGAGTTTCAGTAGAAGACTGTTAGATGTCATTAAAAGTTTTTAGGTAAGCAAAAGGTGGGAGCACTGGAGGGAAGGACCTGCAGGTGAGAGAAGTATAGAGACTGGTGTGGTGTGTGTGTTTATTTTAGGAAAGAATCAGGGCAGAACAGTTAACCAAAGAAACAACTTCTCACAGACATTGGGGTTCATTCTAGAAATTGTACGTTTGCATCCCAGTGGATTTTATTTTATGATATCCTTGAGCTTTGTCTGTTTTTTTCTTTCAACGTAACAGGGCCCAGCAAGTATGATGGCCTACTTGCTTGTTTCTGGGCTATTCCTAACTCGACTTAGAAGACCCATTGGTAAGATGACAATAACTGAGCAAAAGTATGAAGGTGAATATAGATACGTTAATTCCCGGCTCATCACTAACAGGTAGGGAGAAATATATTAAGCTATACAGAAATTTATTTTTATGGTTATTGATGTCATTTATATTGACTCTAAATAGTTGAATAAACAAAATAGCGTATGTATTTACTTGTTTTGAAAAGTCATATTATGGGACTAGCATGGCTATGGTAGAGTGCCAGCTATGAGAAAGAAAAGCAAGGGTATGAGGTCCTTGGTTCAATCCTTGTGATGCCTATTGAACTATGGAATTTTCATAGCTTGGAATTTTACTATTTGTGATTCTGATACCTGGGTTCTTTTACCATTCTCTCAAGGAAACTATGAACACAGGATAAATGTGATGCATCCTTATGGAAAGTTAATTTTACTTGAAGGAATTGCTTGTATAATGGAAGAAATAAACGTTCATTTTGGAGTAGAATATAAACCTTACATTAATTTCTAAGGGAAAGAAAAGACTTGGGAGAGTCATGGTATTTACTGAATGCTGTTTAAACAGCAATATCTGGACTTCCATGTGCATATTTACTTCACTGGGCTGTAAGAGGAATTTTATTGGGGCAGTTTACATCATACTTGCATAGTGCAAAGATAGGAAACTTTAGAGTCAAATAGACTGAGAATTTTAGCTTCTTGACTTGTTTCCTATGGGGCTTTAACATTTACTTACTGAATCTTGCTTTATCTGTTAGATGCTCTTGTTTTTGACTTGAGATCCTGTAGTCCTTGTGGTCCTACTCATACTAGCTCAACAAAAGGGGAGTAGTTTCAAGGATGTGTGGTGTCAAAAATAAGAACGGTTCTGTCTCATCAAGGCCTTCTGAGAGCTGACACTTATAAAGCCACAGAGATTTAGCTTGCTTTTTTGTTTTCTAAAAGCTGACTATCAAGGCCCTGCTACCTGTCTTTTTCTGTCTTTTCCCCCCCTTCTCTTGTGACTTAAAGTCTGTAATGTGTGTTATAGCCCGCCCTGTCTTCCCATATATCAGGATATTGACTTTCCTTGACTTACTTCACATATGTGAGGGTTAGGAGGATTAGCTCATCAAAGCTTTCCTAGCTGAGCTTCTTGTGGCAAAGGCTGTAGAGCTGTGTATGATCCAGCCAGATGTGTGTGTGCTCCTGTGTACCATGAGCTTAGCTAGGTTCTGGATCCCAGGCACAGCCCCTGGGTTGAGATGGCACCAGAAGAGTTCTTAGTTGCTTCATTTAAAACCAAGTATTTATTTATTGAAGATTGCATTTTAATTATCTTTCAGTGTTCCCTAACATTGAAATTAATTGCTGAATTATTTTAACTTTTTAATAGTGAAGAAATTGCCTTTTACAATGGGAATAAAAGAGAAAAGCAGACAATCCACACAGTCTTTCGAAAACTGGTAAGATAACAGAACTGAGTTCATGTGTATTTCCATAAGTATAACTATTTGGTATTTATTTGGTATATATTGTGTATATATACGTATCTTAAGATAGGTAGTTTAAATGGTTATCAAAATGTTTGTACTGTATTTTAAATGAAAAGTAGAGATTACATTCATTAAAATCTTCAGTAGTTGTAAAATGAGTCTTACTAATGATAAATTTAGTTTGTTCTTATTGAAATCATGAAAGTGCAAGGAAGATTATTGGGGAAACAGGAATCAGCAAACTATTTTTAAGGGACCAGACAAGATGCATAGAGTTTTAGGCTTTTCAGATTATGTAGCCTCTGTTACATCAATTCAGCTCCCCTACTCAAAGGTAGCCATATGCAACACATAAGTGAATGGGTATAGCTGCATTCTAATAAAACTTTAATTATAAAAACAAGTGATATCATATTTGGGTTGTTTACTGACCTTTCATTTGGAATATAAATATTTTTGCTTATGAAAGCTGTATTTCAGTTTTTATTTACTTGAGTACTTGGAAAATTTTAATCCAAGTAATTTTATTCATTATGCACTCAGTAGATATTGATGGCCTCTTGGGTATTTAATGGGTACAGCCATTAGTGCTGACGATAATTAGGCAGGTGAGTGAGTATGACAGATTGTCTTGCCTTCATGAAGTTAAGATTTTAGTGGAAGTGTGTGAAATTATTTCAGATTACTTAGAAAAGTTAAATAAGGTATTTTAAGTTATTTCAGAAGTAGAATTTCCATCTAACCATATTTAACATTTCTGAATTTGTAGAGTGCTCCCTGATAAACTGTATGGAAGGCTCTTTTTCAGAAAGGAATATGCCAACTGGCTTCCTTGGTCTCTTCCTGTGGATTTTCAGCCCACATGTTAATATTTCATTGAGGCTTTACCTTTTCTTATTAGCTTACTTGAAATGGCCTGGAACAGTTCCTTCCAGTCTAATATTCTAGTTTCATAAAAGCATATATTGTAGTTTATGTTGTATTTTGTTGGTTACTGTCTTTCTAGAATGCAAACTCTGTGAAACTCTGTGATCTCAGACACTTGTTCTATTCTCCTTATTGCTATGTATCTCCAGCATGGAATCCAGTGTCTGACACATACTATTCCCTGAAAAAATATTTCAACCATTGGTCTAGAATCACAGGGGGTATGAGAGTAAGCTAAGCTATTTTAGTGCAAGAAACAGTTATTGTGTAAGCAAGTGGATGTTCTGTGTAATTTCAGATGATAATACTCTGGCCAAAATGAATTAGGGTAAAGGGATAGAGAATGATGGGGCCTGTTTGCTGGATAGTTAGTTAGAATGGCTAAGAGACTCCTTCTTGATGAAGTTACATTTTATCAGAACCCACAGGAAGTGAGGGAGTCACAAACTGTCAATATCTAGGAAGAAAGCATCACTGTCATCTCCAGTAAGAGGAAAGCCTTAGAACAGGGATATGTTTGAAAGGAATATAGAGCCAGTGGCAGGTCACACAGCACCTTAAATAATCTGGTAGATGGACAACTTGAAAACACTGAGCCTGTAAAATAAAAGGAATTTATAAATTTGTAATTATGAGGGCTGGGAAGGTGGCTCGGTGGTAGAACGCTTGCCTTGCATGCATGAGGCCCTGGGTTCAATTCCTCAGCATCACATAAGCAAAAAGAAAAAAGCCAGAAGTGGCGCTATGGCTCAAGTGGTAGAGCGCTAGCCTTGAGCTGAAGAGCTGAGGGACAGCGCCGAGGCCCAGAGTTTAGGCCCCACGACCGGACCAAAAACAAAACAAAATTTGTAATTATGAGATAACTGTGATCCTCTCGATCTCAGTCTCCCAGATAACACACAACTTAGGTTGTGTGACATGGCTATGTTTGCCTTAGCACTCGCTCACATTGTGTGTCATCTAACTCTTAGGGAAAGCACAGGCCAGGTGTCTTCACCAAAGCAAAGTATTGAGTGCCAGTTTGGACTAATGTTCTACCCAAATTAGCTCATCCTTCCATTTTCTGTGCTTTGGATGTTGACAAGTTTGGGGTTATATGTGTGTAACGGTATTGCATATACAAACATTGTTCTGTTACACACAAGGGAAACAGCATTATTAAAGTTATGTGTTTTCCATTTCGTTTGCGTAAAACATTTTTAATGAAGTGTTTGGCACCTGCTCTGTGGTTAGCATTGTGTTTTAGGAAGTGTGGTGTACAATATAATGAAGAATCATAGGCACCTAGTAAGTGTTCATTGAATAAATGAATGCTATGGTTTGCTTGTCTTGATAAAGTAGTTTTTAAAAAATAAAAATGTATTTATAAAACTTCTCTTTTTCTGCCAGGTGGAGCATCTACATAATTTCATTTTCTTTCGATTTTCTATGGGCTTCATTGATAGCATAATTGCCAAATGTAAGTGTATTTTGAAAGAGATGTTATACTAAAGTGTGTGAAAAAGTGGGATAATGATAATCCTTACAAAAAAAGTTTTGTTAGTGCTGGGGTCCTTGCACTTGTCAGGTGGGCGCGCTTCTACTGAGCTGTGCTGAGCCTCTGCTCACTCCTTTTTTTTTTTTTTTGCACTGGCTACTTTGAGACTCGTTTTTTGCTTGACAAGAACCTTGACCATTATCCACTTATGTATCTTCCCATTGTTGCTGGGATGACACTTGTGGCATGTGCTGCCGTGCCCAGATTCTTCTCTTGAAAAGGAGTCTTACAAACTTTTCTTTACCCAAGCAGGCCTGGAATTGCAATCTTCCTGCTCCCAACCTCCCATGTAGTTAGAATGACAGAGGTGCACCACTGTTCCCAGCTTGATTGGGAAGGGGTGTCACAAGCTTTTTTTTGCCCAAGTTGTCCTCCAACCATGACCCTCCTGATTTCAGGTCTCTCAGTTAACTAAAAATACATGTGTGGACATTGATGTCTAGTTGTACATTCTAACACTCTTTATTTGTTTCAGACATTGCCACTGTGGTCGGATACCTAGTTGTCAGTCGTCCTTTCCTAGATTTATCTCATCCTCGACATCTTAAAAGTACACATTCAGAGCTTCTGGAGGTAAAGTGGTAATATTGAAATGAAGCCTTATTTTTGATTTTTTAAAAAACTGTAAGCAAAATCTAACATTCATTTTTATTTAAGGATTACTACCAAAGTGGAAGAATGCTTTTGCGAATGTCTCAAGCTCTGGGTCGAATAGTTTTGGCTGGACGTGAAATGACTAGATTGGCTGGGTAAGATTAGTAATAATGAACAGGTGAAGAAAAAACTTCGAAAAACGTTGTGTTTAATGAGTTAAGATGAAGGGGGTAACCTTTCCTGTTCCAAGAAGTTGATTTGATTAGAAATGAAGACTTTTCTGTGATTCTGACTTTCTATTGTTCCTGAATTTGTAGGTGCAATTGTAGATATAGTAATAAAATTGTTCTTTGATTGGAATAGGCTTAAATACTTTATAATTTCAAACAATATAAGAGACATAGTATTAAATTAAAAAACAAAACAAAACACCATAATGTAAAAATTGCCATAAATTTTCAGCTTACCTGAGGAAATTTGAGCTTAGAGCTGTGATACAGTTTCTTAGTTCTTTCTCTTCATTCCTCTTTCCTGCTGTGACAAGTATGCCTTTACTTACACACACACACACAGACACACACACAATCTTATTTTGCTTCCTCTTGTTTTGATTTCATTATTTCTTCAATGATTTCTGTCTAACATTAAAAGCTCCTGTTCTCCTTTTCATAAGAAAGAGAGCATGTCTCCCTTTCTTCCCTGTTTGCATTTGGCATACTTCTAATACATTCTTTCTTCTGCTAGAAAGGCCAACTTTACACGTGACTGTATAGTTTGCTCCCGTAGGAGCTCAAGTTCCATACTTCCTGGATCTAAAAAATGCACTGGCATTTTTTTTTTTTGTAGTACTCACTTCCTGAAGTTGTAGCAGCAAGAATTACCGCCCCTCCTATCCTCTCAGTGAATTATTGTGAAACCTCTTCCCTTTCCCTGCCAAAACATAACGTGTGTATTGCTAGTCTCTGATGAAGCTTCCTCATAGTAGTTCACTGAAACTAAATTATATATGAAACTTGAGTTATGCTTAAGTGAAGATGGAATAATAGTCTGATTGTGATTTTCTTTCTTTTTTTTTTGACTAGTTTTACTGCTCGGATTACAGAATTAATGCAGGTACTGACGGATTTAAATCATGGCAAATATGAACGCACAATGGTCTCACAGCAGGAGAAGGGTAAATATGAATATCATAGTTTGAGATCGCAATTTTAAGCTGACACAATGTGATGCTTTAATTCTTATTTTCCATTTTAGGTTCTGAAGGAGCACAGCTCAGTCCCTTGATACCTGGTGCTGGAGAAATCATCAACCTCGATAACATTATAAAGTATGTACAGAAAAACCTTGAGTATATAAGTATTTGTTACACTTCACAGTAACCCTTCTCAATTTATTCATCTGAATTTAAAGTCAGCTTCTTAAAAAAATAGTTTTGAGGTATCATTGGCATAAAATGGCTTATATTTAAGGTATATAATATTGTATTTTGATGCTTATATTATGATCACCATACCCCAGCTAATTAATTACCATTCATCTCTACATAGTTACCATTCGTGTGTGAATGTGTATGTGTATATTTGGTGAGAATTTTTTAGCAAAGAGCAAGTTTCTCTCCCTATGCTGTACATTAGACCTCTAGAATTCACTTAGTTTGCATTATTACCAAAACTTCATACCATTTGACAAATGTCACCCTTGTGTACCCCTCTCTGAGCCTCTACCAACTACTCCCACACTGTCATACTCTCTGCTGTGAATTTGGCTTTTATAGATTCTACATATAAATAAGATTATGCAGTTTATTTTTGTATCTGGCTTATTTTCCTTCTGGTATGCTTTCCACCACCCATATCAACAAATACTATATAAGGCTAAATGATATTCCATATATATGTATGTGTTTATTCACACATACAATGTATTCTTTATCTTTTCACCAAGTGAAGGACATGGAGGTACTTTCAGGGTCTTAGCTTGGTGAATAATTTTGCAATGAACCTGAGAGTATACATACCATTTTGAAATAATGATTTTATTTTCTTGGGTCATATGCTAGTTACATTTGTAATTAAAAAGAATTAACATATATTAATTGTACAAAGGTTTCATTGTGATATTTCCATCCATGTATATGTATAATGCATTTTGATTATATTCATCCTCTGTTACTTGGTCTCATTCCATTCTCCCTGCTTTTTTAAACAATTGTTCACCCTAATTAATTTTTTTTGTCTTTCCTTTTTTGGTACTGGGGATTGAACCCAGGACATCACACTTGGTAGGCAAGTGCTTTGCCACTGAGCTACATCCTAGCCTACTGTTTAATATTTTGAGAAACCTAGGTACTGTTTTCCCATAATGTTTTGATTTATACCTTAACAACTATGTATAAAGGTTTTCTTTTGTCTGCATCTTGTCAACACTATCTTTTTTATGTTTGATAATTGAGAGAGATGACATTTGTTGAGTTGTGTTTTTCAAGTGATTAGAGATGGTGATAACCTTTTCATGTGCCACAAGTATTTATTAGGGCATTGGCAATTTTTAAATTGGACTATTTATTATTTTGATAAGAGTTTCATTTGTTATATGTTTTTAAATTATCCTCTTCTTTATCCATTTTCTCTGTAGGTTTGATCATGTTCTTTTAGCAACACCAAATGGTGACGTCTTGATCCGAGATCTTAACTTTGAAGTAGGTTTTTTTTTCTTTTTTAAAAAATTGTTATTATAAAGGTGATACACAGTGTTACAGTTGCATAAGTCAGATAATGAGTACCTTTCTTTTTGGACAATACCACCTTTTAAATAATCTTCAAGCTATAAGTCAAACCTGTTTTCTGAAATAGTCAAATGAATTTTAAGGTTAACTTAGTTGCCATATTCACAGAACTAAATTTTTGGATCACCTTAAAAAAATGTTTCTCTCTTTTTTTTCTTTTTGGTTGGTTGCGGGGCTTGAACTCTGGGCTTACAAACTGTCTGAGCTCTTCAGCTCAAGGCAAATGCTCTGTAACTTGAGCTACAGCACTATTTCTGGTTTTCTGGTGGTTTATTGGAGATAAGAGTCTCATGGAGGGTTGGGAAGGTGGCTCAGTGGTAGAGTGCTTGCCTTGCGTATATGAGGCCCTGGGTTCCATTCCTCAGCACTACATAAGGAGAACAAAGCCGAAGTGGTGCCGTGGCTCAAGTGGTAGAGCTCTAGCCTTGAGCTGAAGAGCTCAGGGACAGCACCAGGCCTAGAGTGCAGCTCCCAAGACAGACAAAAAAAAAAAAAGTCTCACAGAGTTTTCTGCCCAGGCTGGCTTTGAACCAAGATCCTCAGATCTCAGACTTCTGTGTAGCTAGGACTACAGGCGTGAGCCACTGGCACCCAGCTAAATCTGTTTGTTTTTTTTTTTTAAATTGCTTGTACTTTAAAATTTCAAGTACTACTATAGTATCAGAAGAAAAATTTTTTTGCCAGTCCTGGAATTGGAGTTCAGGGCCAGGACACTATCTCTGATCTTTTCTTGCTCAAGGTTAGCACTGTACCACTTGAGCCACACCTCTACTTCTGTCTTTTTTGTGGTTAATTAGAGGTAAGAGTCTCATGGACTTAACTGCCTATACTGGCTTTGAACTGCAGTCCTCAGATAGCAGCTTCCTGAGTAGCTAGGATTATAGATATGAGCCACTAGTGCCCAGCTATCGAAATTTCTTTTGCAAATGAAGTTTGCAGAAAAGCCATAGAAAATATATTTAGTTGTAATTTCCAGTATATAATAAATATTTAAACATGCAAATATAATTTTAATATATTTAAATTTAAAAAGAAACTTATTTTTATTCAAATTCTCCTAAATAGCATAGACTTTTACTACTGAAACAAAACATGGAGTCTTACAACTGATAAACCTACTGAAGAGCAGAGCAGTACAGTAGCACTGAAAACAAGTGAGTCTTTCAGGTCAAGTGAATGACACCAAGTTAGTATGTTTTCTTAATGAGATGTGGGAATGACAGACCACACTAAGAAGGAAAGGCAACTCATAAGTGGTTTTATGTGGTTTAATTTTAAGACTCTTCAAGATGTTAGGATTGGTGGTTAGGTTATGTATGTTATGACGTTATAAGTGGTTCAGAGCTGGAAGTTGTGAAAATTAGTGACAGATTCTTATCAGGCAACCTCTCCATAGTTGCAGATTCTATATCTTTACAACTTTCTATGGTGATGGAAATGTTCTGTGTATGTATGGTCTAATTCAGTAGGAAGTTATGAAAATGTGGCTAGTATATTTGAGGAGCTAGTACATATGTTTACTGCTAACACTGACATTCAGTGCAATATTGTCCAAAAGAGCAAAACTATATGATGTAAATATGTGACCAGAGGTCATTGTTCAACTAAATTTGGGTACAGTCTTACTGTGAGCACACTTGCATGGCATTGCAAGAATGGGGCAGGCACAAAATAGGCTTGCCTGGGAGATTGGGATACACGGTTGAGTAGATGCACACCACTCAGTACTATGGTTTATGTATAAATGCTGTTTAAAAAAAAAGATGATAGAGAATCACATTGTTTTTATGAACTCAGTGGCTTAAACAAAAAGATTCACAAGTTTTTTTGTATTCTGATTCAGATTAAATTGAATGGTATAACAGTGACTATTGGAAGTAAGCAGAAGTTAAAGACCCCTCACCAAATTCCTTCCCCCCATCTATCTGGCTAGTAATACCATGTATACAGATAGGATATAAAGCTTATAATTAGCAGCCAGCCATTTGATTCTAAGGAAATGTTGGTGTGTATATGTTCATTCATTCATAGATGAATTTTCTTTCAGGTTCGGTCTGGGGCCAATGTTCTAATTTGTGGTCCCAATGGCTGTGGAAAGAGCTCACTCTTCCGTGTTCTTGGTGAAGTATGTGTGATCTGCTCTCCAAAATTTTGACTTATTTTGTAATACTGTTACTATAGTGTGAATTTCACAATTCCTTCTTCCTTCCTTGTCTTTTGTAGTTATGGCCTCTCTTTGGAGGACGTCTTACTAAACCTGAGAGAGGAAAGTTATTTTATGTCCCTCAGGTAAGACCTTGTTGAAGTTGGTTTGTAATTTTTTATCTTTCTTTAAATTTACTTCACTGACTTTTTCTGTGCCACATTCAGAGACCTTACATGACCCTTGGAACTCTGCGAGACCAAGTGATATATCCAGATGGAAGGGAAGATCAGAAGAAGAAGGGGATATCTGACCAGGTAAGGGACCCTTATGTCCTAGACTAATGAAAACGTCCTAGTTCTGATTCTTTGTCTGCATATCAGTATTTAAATGCCAGGTAGTTTGTCCAAACTTTCAAAGCTGTGGGAAGAAATCAGCAATTTGTTTATATCACTTGATTTGTATTTATCTGTCTGTACACTATTTGTTGTTTTCTATGTTATTTTGTAATTCTTAGATTTGAAGCACATGATCTTGTGCTTCTTACGTAGGCTCTGTACCACTTGAGTCCTGCCGTCTTACCCTTTTTGCCTTTTTTTTTTTTCAGTACCAGAGTTTGAACTTAGGGCCTTGTATTTGTCTGGCTGACTCTCTTATCACTTAATCATGCCTCCATCCCCAGATTTTTGCTGATTATTTTGGAGACAGAGTTTTGGACTTTTCTGCCCATATTAGCTTCGAAACATAGTCCTTGAGATCTCAGCCTCATGAAGAGCTAGTAGTAAGTTGGTACCTGGCTGCATTGTTTTTTTTATAAGATAGAGTAGCCCTTTATGGTCTCCTGGCCTGGACTATAATCCTCTTGTTTGTGTTTTCTTGTGTAGCTGGTTTTTTTCCTTGGGTAGCTTTCCTGAAAACTGTGTTTTCCTATGTTGCACAAGACTTTGCCTAGCCATTAGTTGAGATGTAGTCAAACATTTTTTTCCCAGTTTGCCTAGAACTGCAGTCCTCAAATTGTTGCCTCCCATATAGGTAGGATTATAGGCTTGAGCCTCCATACCTGCCTAATTTCCTAAATCCTTTGATTATGCACAATGATGTTATTCTTTCTCAACCACTAGACATGCTTTTGTCAAGCTTAGCATAAATAGGAATTGAAAAGTTCAGGGCTAGCCTTGTGCCCCATTCCTTGCTAAAGAGTACCTCTTCTAAGTGGTATTGGCAATTGAATTACTAAAAATCTTGTTTAAAAACATAAAGCAAAACAGAGAACGTTGGTTTATGACAAGTCTGATTTTGTCTTGCCTCATTTGCTGGAAGGTGCTGAAGGAGTACTTGGACAATGTGCAGTTGGGTCACATCCTGGAACGGGAGGGCGGCTGGGACAGCGTCCAGGACTGGATGGACGTACTCAGTGGGGGAGAAAAACAGAGAATGGCCGTGAGTATCTCTGGAGACTAGCAGGTGCAACTGCTTGCTTTACTAAAGTCCTGTTATAGAGCTGACCTGTTTAGACCCTTTGATTGCTCAAGACACAGATTTTACTTTTTATTTCCTAACATAGCCATAATGGCTATGTTAGGAAATATTGATAATTTAAACAGTGAATCAAGTGTTAGAAATGTTTAACTTGAATGTCCACTTGGAATTCTAAAACCGTCATTAATAATGAATGTTGCCACACTTGTGAAGGAAAAGCTGTAGAAACAGTCCATTTTTCTGAAGGCTAAACGGGGTCTCTGTGGCACAGTGGCCCTCCCATATGCAGCCGGCCCAGTCAGGTGCCGCCTCTCAAGTATCTTTTCCCTGCTCTCTGCAGAAGTGAAGGTTAGAAAGCATGCACACCTCTATTCCTTGTTCTTTCCTTTCCATCCATTGCTGTGTGTATCTTTGTTTTAAGGTATAGTATCTATCACTTAAAGTTATTTGAAATTTAAAAACTTTCTTAACATAAAGAAGTATATAACAATTAAACTTATTCCTAACCAAAAATATGTACTAAACACTACCTGAAAAGAATAATACTTAGAACCTCTGTTGAGGCACTTTAAAAGAGTCACTTTTGAACTGTGTGTACCACAGTACATGCAGGGGGTTTTCCCTTTGCTGTTAGCCTGATGGTAATTAGGAAACACTTGAAATCAAAGGAAAAAGGCTGTGCCCATCATCTTTTGGCTGTGTTCTACTGTGTTGCTTCCTAGTCCCTGATCTTGTATGTTGTTTCCCAAACTATCAGTTCTCATGTTGTGACATGAGATTAATCTATTGTGAAGAATGAATATTGAACAAGAAGGAGGGAAATATTTTCTGTATCCAAAATGGAAATTGGACCAAAGGAGCAAGCCTTTGAAACAGTTGGATGTTTCTAGGGTCAGTTTCTAGAATCATATTGCAGAAATAACTGCAAGCCAGTAAGACAAATCTAAAAACATTTAAACATTAAGTTTCAATATGACTTAAAAGAAAATGGAGAGATAATTCACAGGTAGACACGGTGGTTACACAGAAGAGAAAAAGTAAATGTACTTAAATCATCAGTTCTGTATGAGGACTGAAGGTATAGATGGAGTCATTTTTGAAGGGAAGAATTCACAAATGTGCCTAGAGAAGAAAAAAAAAGAGACAATTAGTTTAATTCAATGGCAGTTATTTTTTGAGAGCTTAATACATGATAGACAATATGCCACATAGTTGCCCAAGTGATCTCCCTTAATTTTACAGCAGTCCTATGTAATAAGCATGAGTGCCCAACTCAAACTAACTCAGCCTTGCCTGTTAATCCTGGTGAACATGGTTTATCAAGGCCAGGCAGCACATTGGTATTGGCATGGGTTCCCCTCCTCACCTACAGCCTTTGTGTACCGTGCAGTCAGGTGGCTGACAGCACAGAGGAGAGAGAGAGGAGACAAAAGCCTGTCTCTTGGGATGTGCACATCTGTCCATTAGCATGGTGAAAGTGAAGATGCAGATTCAGGGAATATGGAAGGGAGAGGAGAAAGTAGGGGCAGGAGGAGAGGAAAGAGTACAGGAGGGAGGAGAGGCCTCTGGAATGCCTCTAGCATCCATTTCTCCTCATTGGCCCCGCACTGGTTTGTCCTCCACCCTCTTCAACTGCCTGTGCAGGACACATCATCTTCATGGGAAGGGCTGTGTCTCCATCAGTTTGAGAAAATGATGACAAAAATGAGAAAGGAGTAAGGAGCAGCGGCGGCCTTGAACAGGTCTGACATGTGCCTGCATCTGGTGCTGTGTTGTAGCAGTTGGGAGGACATGCTGCTAGAAGGCCAGCCTCGGTGTGAGAAGGGATGGGACTGTGAGTCTTACAGGCTATGCTAAGGACTTTGGATTTTCTTTGAAGTTGAGTAGGAAGTTGTTGAAGGATTTTTAGCCAGAGCGAAGTTCTCTGCTTGTGACAGAGTCCCTGTGGGTACATGGAGAATGGAGTGAAAGGAGTGGAGAGGAGGCTGGAGTCTATGTGGTTGTCTGGGGGTGCTCCGGTGTCATGGCATGCTTGTAGAGAGGGGGAAGAGTGGACTGACCTGAATCCATTAAGCAGGGCTGGGTGAGAGGGATGAGGACAGGGAAGGATTGAGTGATGAGGGAAATCTAGAAAACACATTTCAGTTTTAGACTTCTACATCTGAGAATCTGTGGGCTACCTGAATAGAAAATCTAAATAAGAATTTATCAAGCTAGAAATTAGAAAAGCATAGATGATACAGATGTCACCTATGTATGGTTTTCAGAATGTCAGTATTGTTGGAAATCTTAGATTAGATGAGATCACTCAGAAAGACGTAGTGTAGGAAGAGAGAAGGAAACCTAGGAATTAGCCCTACAGAACCCCACCTTGAATGAGGGAGCAGCGTGGAGGGTGGAAGACCCCCAGTGCTCTTGCTGTTGCTTTCTCAAGAAGGAGGAAGTGTTCACCCAAGTGGAACACGGGATCATCTCTGGGGGTAGATGACAAATTGGAATATCTGTCAGAAAAAGGATCAGCATAAGTTGTTCCAGAAGATAAAATAAATGTGGGAGATGCATAAAGGAAAATGTTCAGCATTTCAGATAATCAACAAAATGTAGGCTATAGCAATCCTGGTGTTAATTTTTCATTCACAAAATTAGCAAAGGCTTTAATAAAGCTTCTAGTAATAGAGTCAGGACACTGGTGTACTAATGACTGTTGGAGTGTGAGTTGGTACTGCTGTGTAAGCAACAGAGGGTTTAAATTCTGAGTCTGAATTGTGGGATTTGGTTGAAATCCATGCTCTCTAATATTATTTTTTAGTCAGTAGTGGGGCTTGAACAGTGTTCCTTAGCTTTTTCACTCAAGGCTGTTGTGCTACAAGTTGAGCCACAGCTCCACTTGCGACTTTTTTGTGGTTGATTAGAGATGAGTGTCATGGCTTTGAACCACAAGACTCATTTTTGAGGCCTCCTGAGTAACTAGGATTATAGGCATAAGCCACCAGTGCCTGACCACGTTCCCTAATCTTACTTGTTTAGTGAAGTTACTACTACCATAGAACTCAGTATTGCCTCACACCAGTTTATGTTTTCATATTATGGCCTCTATTTTCTTCTTTACTTGAGATAACAGTAAAGATGGGTTTCTTTATATTGTTCCCATTTATAGGAAGCAGATTGGTTTTGGTAAAATAATTGTCACACTTTAGCTTTACAAGATTTCAAAATGCATATTTAAGTAAAGCAAACATAGCTTAGTAAAGATAGCTTTAGTAAAATAGATATACTTAGTTTTAGGTCTGCATATGTTTACAAAAAGCCTTTCTTCTGCTTCAGATGGCAAGATTATTTTATCATAAGCCGCAGTTTGCCATTTTGGATGAGTGCACCAGTGCAGTGAGCGTGGATGTAGAAGACTACATCTACAGCCACTGTCGGAAGGTGAGTGGCACCCAGCATCTTAGCTGGAGGGGATGTGTTCCTATCCATCACTCTGTCACCACACACTGCTCAGAGAAGTCTCCCATCACTAACCAGCAAGATGATATCTTGCTTAGTAATGGTGTTAAGGTTGGTAGCTAAGATAGGAGTAACATAAAAAGAGGCGTAAGTATATAATCCTCTATATAATTCTCTTCATTTCTTAGGTATGAAACATGTAAGTATATTTTCCTCTTGCCTCATTATTTATACTCAGTTTATCCCATTAACTTCACTGAAACATCTTTTTAAAATCAGGAAGACTCAATAGCAACCATTTGTAATTTTTAATTTGTCTGTTCTGGGCAGCATCTTACTAAACTTGTTTTAGTAGATAAGTATGAGGCTGTTTGTATTGTCATTCTTTTTTTTTTTGGCCAGTCCTGGTGCTTGAACTCAGGGCCTGGGAACTGTCCCTCAGCTTCTTCTGCTCCAGGTTAGCACTCTACCACTTGAGCCACAATACCACTTCTGGCTTTTTCTGCTAATGTGTTATACTGAAGAATTGAACCCAGGGCTTCATGCCTGCTAGGCAAGCACTCTACCATTGAGCCACATTGCTAGCCCCTGTATTGTTATTCCTTAAATCATTATTCAGTTTTCATTTGAAAATTGCTACTGCCGGTCTAACTCATTGGATTTTTTAGAACAAGACTAGTTATGTGCTGCTTTTACAGTTTTGATGTAAGTAAAGGGGTACAGAAGAATTTGAATGCCTTATGCCTACTTGGGCAGCTTATAGTAAATAGAATAGGTCACATTGCACATATGTAGACATGCATTTTTATTTACATATACAAACATACGTAAATAAAATGAAGTCCCGCTACCCAGAGTATAGCCATGGCATGGTTATCTCCATGTCCTAGAAGTGACTTAGCAGTACAGAATGTCAAGCACTGGCTACTTTGAATCTGCAAATGGGCGAAATGCCCAGATGGTTCACATGCATGTGACACTGTGAGCCTGCGCTGGGGAGAACGAATGAGCCAGCTTGTCACGTTTGTCTTAGCAGAGAGATTTAACTATTGATTGTATTTTTCTTTCTTTCTTCTTCTTTTTTTTTTGGTCAGTTGTGGGGCTTGAACTCTGGGCATCAGCTCAAGGCTAGCACCCTACCACTTGAGCCACAGTGCCACTTCCAGCTTTTGTTTTTTTCTGCTTATTTGGTGCTGAGGGATCAAACCCAGGGCCTCATGGATGTGTGGCAAGCACTCTACCACTGAGCCACCTTCCTAGCCCTTGATTGTATTTCATGTATAGTTTCTTTTCAATTCTTGAGTTACTTTTATAGCATTTATATAATAAATTTATTATATGAATACTATAAATTACCAATATTGATGTTTCATAGGTGTTAGAGATGTTTATGAATTTTTGTATATATAACCATGTAGTCTGTATTTGACTTAGAGGCTTCTTTGCTGGTAATTTTGACCAGGCAATTTCATAAATTCTGCAAAATATAGATTTTTTTTTGAAGGAAGACAATTTATATGGAGCTCCATGACAGTTTAAATTATGTTATCAGAATATCACAACATGAATCAACAGTAATGACCTCTTAAAGTCTAGAACTTTTTTACAACAGCAAAACCAATATAAATTTACCATTTTCAAATTGTCTTGTATGATTTGTGTTTTATTAATGCTGATAACATGTTTATCTTATTATGTAGTTCCTAATCAAATTTTGCAAGGCAGCCTAACTTGGGACACACTACAATTTTTAAGTTTCTTCAGCCACTTTGTAGCTGTAGCAATGTAGAAGTGTAATCTCTTGGTGGAAATGATACAGAATGTACTTGGACTAATTTTTTAAATTACCATCAAAATGAGATCAAAATGAGAAGTCACAGGTGGAAATGGTGAATTCTCACATGTGTGTGTCTGTCAGCCCTGAGAGCTGTTTGGAAAAGCAGTGATCTAGAACAGCATGACTTGCCAGATGTTGGTACTGTAGGCATTTTGGCTGTGTAACTGAGAAAGCTGCTGGGCTGTCCTGTGTATTTTTCTGTGTAGTGGCATCTCCGGCTTCTGTCCATTAGATGGCAGTAGTGATCTCAGTGTGACAACTAAAAATGTCTCCAGACTTTTATCAATTGTAATGTCCCCTGAGGACAAAGATCTCAGTTGAGAAGTAGTGAATCAGAGTATCTGTAGTTGTATCTTTTAGTATTTTCTTCAAAATCTGAAGGTTAGACCTTAAATTCTATGTTTAGTCTGAAATACAGAAAGCTTTTAGGACCAGAAGGGTTTCCATAATTTTTTAGGAAGTTCGTTGAGTAACAAAATCTGACCTGAACTAATAGAAGATATACTGTCTCATTTATTGCAGCTGTTCATATGGATTACCTCAGAAATATTCACATGTTTAATTGTACAGTTCTGCCCCAGAACCTTCTAGGAGAGGATTAATAATACATTTCCAATATCTGGATTCCAAAATGTATTTCCACAATGAAAGTAATCCCTTATTGGGATTATAATTGGCATTTGAGAAGCAAGTTAGTTGTAGACAGTGCTATACTGATTAATCTTTCCACTTTAACATTTTGCTACTTTTATCCTATTATCTTTTTGCATATATTCATGTATATGTATATATATATGTGTGTGTGTATATATATATATATATATACATACATACAATTGGAGATGTGTTTTCTATTCAAAACAAGATAATACACTCAATGTTAGTACCTGTTAGTTTTTGTTATGTGGCTAATGGCACAAATTTCCATTACCATAAACATTAGGCATCATTAGAAATTTTTCTCTTTGATATTGTTTTTTTTTTTTAGCTGTCTCCACTGAAAGTGGTCATTTTAACAGCTTGTGTTCATTTAATGTCTGGCTATTTGTTAACCGAACCCTAAAAACCCTTTATTTTTCTTTCAATTAGGTGGGCATTACCCTGTTCACTGTGTCACATAGAAAATCTCTCTGGAAGCACCATGAGGTTTGTGTTTCTCACTATGGAACAATGGAAGTTTATTTAAATGTGTGAGTCTAGGTGAAAATGGTTTTAGATTTCTTGATGCATGCTCCATTATAAAAGAGAAGGAATGGAAACGGGCCTGCTGAGAGCAGCCCAGTCAGGCACAGCAGCCCCTCTTCCTCCCCCGGCCCCAGGCCTAGATTCTTTTTTTTTTTTTTTTGATATTTTAATACACCTATGTGTTGACATAAAAAATTTAATTCAGTGCTACAGCATTGTTTTTCAAAGATTAACATTTACAATTATAGTCAAATAAAACATTATTACAAAACTAGGTTTCTTTAACATTTTTTAAATGCTAACCTAACTTTGTTAAGTCTATCAGGCCTAGATTCTTGATTCTGGGTTGCTGGAGCATCTCATTTGTGAGGTGCATATGGACTTGGTTCACTAAAATCACATACATAAGTGTGTGCTATAGCTTTTAGCAAAGAAAGAACACAGGAACTCTGCATTATTGATCCTTTCCCTTCTCTCCACAGTTCTACTTGCATATGGACGGCAGGGGCAATTATGAATTCAAAAAGATCACAGAAGATACAGTCGAGTTTGGTTCTTAGAGAAATCAGAAACCTGTACTTTTGTCAATGAAATGAAAAATCATTACAGAATACATATAGAAATAGTACATTGTAAAATAAAGCTAAGCTTGTTTTTTTAAAAAACAAAGCAACCAATTAACTAGCTATAGAATAATTGAGAACTTGTTGTTAAAACACTTAATATTATATTAGGATATTGCTAATTGTGTATATGTTGGTTTAATTATTAATATGTACTAAGAATGTCCTTATTCTTGTGGTTAAAAACCTGCCTGAATTAAATTGGGCTTCAATTGGTGTAACCTGATTCATCCTGGGATGTAAACCATCCAAAGTCAGCTATTTGACTTTGTGGCTCAGTCTCTTCCTTCAGTGAAGAACCCTATTTAACACTGGGGTCATCACTTGTCCTGTTGTCACCAAACGTCTTGAGTTTTATTTCCTTGTGCCCCATGGTCGTGGGAAGCAGACCAATCACAATGTATTATTCAAATGAAGAACATCTCTGCATCGCAGCTCTGATTGCACTGTGGCAGATCTCCCTGTCACACAGTTATGCTCATTCCTCATACATGCCTTGGGGCGCGTTTGACTCCAGGAGTGCCATTTGGATTCTCTTTAGCTCTGTGATGAATGTGCCCCCCAGTCTGTGGGATTGAGTTGCTTTGAAGCTTTCTGGTGATGTAACAGAAATTTATGTGCAGTCTTGCTTATAAGGTGTGGTCACTACAAGTCACACCTCTTCTTCCCAATGTTTGGGATATTACAGCACAGTCCTCGTGTCAAACTCAAGGTTTTAGGTATTTTAGAGTTTTAAAAGAACCGGACAGATGTGTTGGGGCCATCCATCAGCAGCATGGTGTTTGCCTGTGCCAACTCCAGAGGAGCCCTCAGAATGCACTACACAAAGCCATGCCCTGGGATGCGAAGCCACTGCACCGGCCACTGGGATTGTATGTTTAAAAATGCAAAAAAATAATCATGCAAACGGGTGAATTATGTTTCCTAGGTACTGCTCTATGTCTGTGAATTTTGAATAATTTTTTTTATATTTGGGATTATTATATTGAACTACCTTAAATCAATTTCAGCTCACCAAACTACCCTTAATGACATTACATGTATTATTTGCTCAAGGAGAACTGAAACAATGTAATCAATACATTGTATCAAACTAGGGGTCAGAAAGAAGGGGCATTTTTAAAAACATTCTTTCTGCATAACTGGTTTGGGTTTTGCAGAGTTGACTTAGAATCACTGGCTACTGAAGCAGACGCAACATTCAGTTTTTACCACTTCTTTCTGGCAAACTTGTATACTTACTTTTTTTCTGTTCAGATTAAAAAAAAATCAGATACTCTACACAATTTCTGTGTGTTCTTTTTATTCCCTGTCAAAATATTGATGAGTTCTTCCCCAGGTCACACAGACTTGACTTGAAAACAAACTTAAGTGCACGTTCAGAATACCCTCAGCATCTTGTCTGCTTTTAAAGTTCTATTAAATGCACATTGAAGGAAAGCATTCTTTGGTCTTAGAAAATACTGATAAAATCTTCAGTGTATTCTACCAAATAGCTTTGAGTCCCTGGGAGAGATTTTGGCACATGGAGCAGTGGCAGATTTTCACATTCCTGAATTAGCAAAGATGTGTTAATGGAAGTATTTTCATAAGCTTCTGTAAGGATTCTCAATAGAGTCATGAAGGAGTATATTTATAAAGAGCCTTGCCTTTGCATATGTTAACATGATGCTTCACTGGAGGCCATAGTAAGGTGCGCCAGTGTTCCGAAAGTGGGTTTACCCTCAGTCCATGAACTACACTGTAACCGAGAGTAATCTGAAGGCTAAATCAAAAGAGTGGAACTTTCATCCATATTTGCATTCTGCACACCAGTTGTATCACTGTACCTTCACTTTCTACTTGGTAATGCATAGAAAGTCTGTGATAAACCACCATGGGGATTTGCTACTGGGGATAGCATAGAATGCATCCAGGGTTCACATGTGTGTGCATGTGTGTGTGTGCACGCACACACACTGATTAACATTTGCCTGAAAACTGGAAATTCCTAAACTTTGTTTCAAAACCATAGTTTGTTCCTAAAACCAGAGTGAACTTTCTTCTGTCAAATAAACGTGAACACTGTTAGTTGAAGGACACGGTTTACTTTTTAAAAACCTGTATCAGAAATTTTTCTTTCATGAAGGACTGAAGTATTTTTACCCTTTCTATAAATAACATGTCGCATCACATGCATGTCACTTTTGAAAGAACTTGAGTACCAGAACTAGAAGGCAAAAACTTCAATGCCCTAAGGGCAATTGTTTGTTCCTTTTGTGGAGAGAAGGTACTGGGGCTTAAACTTAGGGCTTCATGCCTGGATAGCTTGCTTCCTTGACTGGTGCTCTACCACTTGTACCATACCTCTAGCCTGACCGTCTACTAGTTAACTGGAGAAAGAATTTCTCTGACTTTTCTGCTTTGAACTTTGATCCTCTAATCTCAGCCTCCTGAGTAGGTAGGATTACAGGCATGAGCCATTGACCCCTAGCTTTAGATGCTCTGGCTGTTGAGATCAGTATTCTGATTCTTATTTCTTTGTAGGAGACAATACTACTTTTATTTTACCCTTTCTCTGGCTCTATTCCTGGGCTGCCTCCCCTCTCCAAAGAAGTTCCTCTGCCCTGCCCGGCAAGTCCCAGTGTCTTTAGCTGTTGTTTTGTTTTCTGTTTGATGTGGGGCTTGAACTCTAGACCCGGGTGCTGTCCCTCAGCTCTTCAGCTCAAGGCGAGCGCTCTACCACTTGAGCCACAGTGCCACTTCCGGTTTTCTGGTGGTTTATTGGAGATAAGAGTCTCACGGACTTTCCTACCTGGGCTGGCTTTGAACTGCGAGCCTCAGACCTCAGCCTCCTGAGTAGCTAGGATTACAGGTGTGAGCCACTGACGCCCGGCAGAAGCTAACTTTTTAAAGCTTAAAATACATTAGTTGACCTGACTTTCTTTTATAGCCAAAGTCTTTTTCACCAAATCACTGACTTTGGGGATGCCTGAGTCATCAGCAAGGCCCAAGGTCTGTCACCCACATGCTTGCTTCTCAGTAGCTGTTCCAGGTGCTCATTGCTCATTGGATGGTGCAGGATTCTCTTCCTGGAGTGCCTAGCATATTTCCCCCTAATGTGAATGCTGCATCTCTCAGCTGTGATTTCAGAAAACTCCCAAGTTGGTGAGCTCCCCAAACACTCTTAACATTTATGTGCATAGTGACTTGTGTGACATTTACCATGTATATGTGTGTGAGCTCCAAATTGCTGAGATTACACTTGTCATGTTTTAATGAAATTTATAATCTCTGGCACATAGTGGAAGCCAGTGTTAGGAGTAATGAATGAGGAATCCAAGAGCATAAGTGTTTCTTGCCAAGGAAACCAGAGTTTAGAAGAGGGGGCAAGACAGGTGGATGCCATTCTGTGTGATATTAAGGAATTGCAAGAGCCATGTGCTAGTTGGAACTTAGGGGCTGGCATTTCCTAGGCAGGCATTATACCAATTGAGCCATACTTCAAGCCCTTTATGCTTTTTCTATTTTGCAAACAGAAACCAAGCTGGCTCATGTGTGATCCTCATTTATGCTTCCTGTGTAGTTAGATAATGGGCACACATGAACACTCAGCACTGAGATGAAATCTTACTAAATTTCTTGCCCAGGTTGGCCTGATCTCAACCTCCTGAGTTGCTGGGATTACAGACATGAGCCAACATGCTTGGCAACCTCCCCGCCCCCTCAGATTGTTAATTATATAAACACTCTAATAACTACAGGATTTAGGCTAAATAGACTTGATTTTTAAGGCCTTTTTTCCCTTGAGTTTCTTCCTTTGAACAGATCAGATCCTTACCGTCCCATGTACAGTCTGGAAGGAAGGAAGGAAAGAAAAAGGAAAGAAGGAAGAAAGAAAAAGGAAAGATGGAAGGCAGGCAGGCAGGTGGGCAGGCAGAAAGAGAAAAAGAAAAAGGAAAGAAGGAAGAAAGAGGACAAGATAGAAGGAAGGTAGCAAGGAAGGAAAGAAGGATCTCACATTTCCAAAGAAGCCTTAAGACTCATTTTTCATAGACTTAGTTATGTAATTACCTTGGACCAATTTCTCCATTTGGGAAGAAGGAATATGATGATGGACAAAGCCAGAATTACCTGCATCCCCAGTTGAGATGCAAGGACTGTGGGGTGGGATGTTAGTATATCAAATCATCTGAATGAACAGAAGTCACATTACATAACAAAAATAAGCCTTCTTGGACAACACTGAAGGAAGTGAACACCTGCTAGATGCACATGTCCTAGAACATTTAGGAAGAACATGGGGAACAAGTTTACTCTCACTATTGAATAGAAAGCATTTTTTTTGTTTTTGTTTTTTGTTGCCAGTTGTTGGGCCTGAACTCTGGGCCTGGGCACTGTCCCTCAGCTCTTTCAGCTCAAGGCTAGCTCTCTACCACTTGAGCCACAGCGGCACTTCTCGCTTTTTTCTGCTTATGTGGTGCTGAGGAATCGAACACAGGGCCTCATGCATGCAAGGCAAGCACTCTACCACGGAGCCACCTTCCCAGCCCTGAGATCATTTTTTTCTTTAAGAAGCAGGTACTAGAAAAGTGACAGACAGCAGATGTAATTTGTCTTTATGATACAATTACGTGTTTCTGGTTCCAAATATGGTTCCAGAATCTAGTCCACACTCTCCAACTTTTCACCTGTGAAACTACTATCTTCTTTTGCTGCTTCAGTTAGGAGTCTGATACTTTCAAGGAGACCTAATCTAGTGAGCAAATGGACTGGTGTGGACTCTGTCCTCTAAGAGGTCATCAGAAGGAATTTCTTCCCCTCTTGATTTGTACTGATAGCAACATATCAATATATCAGCAATGAGATCTTAGCAAGTCTCTGTATCTCATAATCTTTTCTCCTTTGAAAGCAGAGATTCCACCAGAAGTACTATAGGATACTGGCAAGTACTAAAAATTTTATTTCAGAGGTGTTAATATTCTCCTGAATTTTTTTTTTTTTTTT